CTCTTCTTTGTTTAAAAAAAAATTTATTTACCCCTAAAAAGACATTAGTATGTTGTTGTGTAGTTTACAGCTAGGCTGCAGCATCTGCAACTCTCTGCCCAACATTTAAGATTCTGACACTTTTAATTAGTGGTCATTTATTATGGGGTTGGGGAGTGGGTGGGGGATTGGATCTGTCTCCCCCCCCCCCCCCCCCCCCTCGTCCCAACTGGGGTCCCGGAAACCACACAGAGAATCTTCTCATCAATAAAAACACTAAAAGTGCGCACGCAGACACACGCACACCTCCATGCATTCACACATAAACACACAGGCACATGCACACATGCACACAAACATACACGCAAACAAACCTAATATGGCTGTACTCACAACAGCTTGTATGTCTTCCTCTCTTGTCCTGCTATTGACAGTTAAGTAACAGGCAACGGTTCTGTTTCTGTGGTTATGCTTAACCCTCTCGCTCGCCTCAAAGAAGCTGCTTTTATGGGTTTGGGTTAACACATTACAACAGTGTGTCCATTACGGCCGTATGGCAGCTTTTGTACTGGCTGCTAGTGCATACTGTATGTACTGTATGGTAGATATGGTTATAGTTAGCCACCCCCTCTCCCCTCCCCCCCCTCCCCCACCCCTCTTCCCCACAGTGGTTTTGAAATCTGAATCAAGGTGGGGAATTTTTTGATAAAAAAATTTTTTTTTAGATCACATAGTTTCATAATTGCATCACTTTGCTGTCTTTTTCAAAGTGACCAAAACCACTTTTAAATGGTCAAAGTGAAAGGAAATCTGTTAATCCCTCCAACACCCCCCTTTTTTGTATTTAATAATTACGTCCCTTCACATAGAAGTAGACTTGTTTCCCCAATTTAGACATTTAATGACTGGGAAGTTGTTTTTATTTGTAAATTAAAAAAAAATAATTAATTGATGTTAATTTTGTTGTGACGTGATGTTATCAGCAATGCAGCCAACATCGTGCCTGTCTCCTTGGTGGTCTAGAGGTTCGATCCCCCTGGGTGTTTATAAAAATTTACCAAGACTCCTAAAGTATGTCTGCTTCTTCTTCTAGTTTCTTAGGGCGGAATTTCAGAGAATTATAAGGCTGTGTTTAAATGAAATTTGAGAAAAGGTTTATCTTTAAAGGGTGAAAGGGTTGAAAGGGAGGCTAGCACATTGTGTTGTGGTTTTCAGCTAGGCTGCCAAATCCGCTCCTTTAGACCCAACACATCAGATTTGATCAAAACCTTCATTAGTCGCCTTTTAGGAAGAGTTTGTTAAAGAGCAGTGGGTCTATTCTGTTTTCCAGTAAAATTATGGACCTGGAATTCGCATGAGGGGTAACAGTAACTCTCCACTAGTGTTTTGTGAGCTATTGTCTCTTACTTAACGCACCTGTGTTTTTTAGTGTGTGCCCTAACTCTTTCAGCCACATAGACCGGTTAAATTAGTTATATACCAACACATGATGCATTTCTTGGTACCGAAAGAGAGTTAATGTGTGGGTTTTTTTCAGCTTGTAGTTTTAATTATTTCAGTCCCAAACAACGCACTGGATTTACTTGTATGCACCAGTTAACATATTATTTGGCTTGTACATTTTATGTTTACTTGGGGCATGCTAAAACACTCAATAACACATCTGTCTCCCGCAAGGAATGTGTGTTTGGGCCCTGTGTATGTAGTATACCCATTATTTTGTTGATGTCACAGTTGACTCAGTGGGACATCCGCTGTGACCTTCTAGGTTGAAAAAGATTTAATGTGTGCCTTATTGTGTTTCTGTGATTCATTTCCGCTGGTTGTTTTAGTGTCTGTGTTTTTCTGATACGTCTTACCCCTCCCTCCCTTTATGTCCCTTACGCACAATGCACGCATACTGATATCAACATGCTTCTAACACGGACTTGGTTTCTTCACTACCTCCAGATCATAGAGCGACGAGGGACAGCACAGCAGGTTCGTAGTCGTCTTCTCACAGTTTAGACACGGAACAGTCTGCTTGCACCCTGTAGAATCATAGAGCTTTCGTCTGTTTTATCTGTAGATCATTACACACATTTTTTTTTAGATTGTCACATAGATTCTTAAGAGTGTTTTATGCGATAGAATTCTGTACACAGCTTTGTTTTATACTACAGAATTCTTTACACAGCTTTGTTTTTTATACTGTAGAATCCTAGAGCCTTTATCTGTTTTAGCTGTACAATATTTCACACCTTTTTTATATTTTCATTTAGATTCTTAGACAATGGTTTGTTTTATACTATATAATTCTTTACAGACCTTTGTTTTATACTACATAAATCTATGCATAGCTTTGTTTTATACTGTAGAATCGTAAATCTGTCGATTATTACACACTTTAAAAAAAATATTGTCACATAGATTCCTAGACAATGGTTTGTTTTATGCTATATATTGTGCTATATATAAAAGATTATCTGTTTGTATTATCCTGTCGAAGATTATATATATGTTTGTATTATACTGTAGAAGATTATATATCTGTTTGCATTAACCTGTAAAAGATTATATATGTTTGTATTATCCTGTAGAAGATTATATATCTATTTTCATTATCCTGTAGGAGATTATATATGTTTTTATTATCCTGTAGAAGATTATATATGTTTATATTATCCTGTAGAAGATTATATATCTGTTTGTATAAAAAGCTTTGTTTTATGCTGTAGAACCCTAGAACCTTTGTCTGTTTATCTGTAGAATGTTACATTTTTTATATTCTCACCTAGATTCTTAGACAAGGGTTTATGTTATACTACAGAATTCTATACAAAGCTTTGTTTTATTGTAGAATCCTAGAGCCTTTTTTTGGTTTTATTTGAAGATTATTACACACATTTTTATATCACCACGCAGATTATTTGACAGTAGTCAGTTTTATGCTATAGAATTCTATACAAGGTTTTGTTTTATACTATAGAATTGCATCCAAAGCTTTGTTCTGTACTGTAATATCTTATACAATCCTTAACTTTAAATATTATTATATAGAAGATTATCTGTTTGTATTATCCTGTCGAAGATTATATATGTTTGTATTATCCTGTAGAAGATTATATATGTTTGCATTATCCTGTAGAAGATTATATATGTTTGCATTATCCTGTAGAAGATTATCTGTTTGCATTATCCTGTAGAAGATTATATATGTTTGCACTATCCTGTAGAAGATTATATATGTTTGCATTATCCTGTAGAAGATTATATATATGTTTGCACTATCCTGTAGAAGATTATATATGTTTGCATTATCCTGTAGAAGATTATATATGTTTGCACTATCCTGTAGAAGATTATATATGTTTGCATTATCCTGTAGAAGATTATATATGTTTGCACTATCCTGTAGAAGATGACATATCTGTTTACATTATCCTATAGAAGATTGTATATGTTTGTATTATCCTGTAGAAGATTGTATAGGTTTCTATTATCCTATAGAAGATGACATGTCTGTTTACATTATCCTATAGAAGATTGTATATGTTTGTATTATCCTGTAGAAGATTGTATATGTTTGTCATACTCTAGAGGCTTACATTTATTTGTATTATCCTGTAGATGATTACATATGTTTTTATCTATTTGTATTATCATGTAGGAAATTGCATGTTTGTTTTTCACATTATCTTGTAGAAGATTATATATCTGTTTGCATTATCCTATAAAAGATAAAGTGTCTGTTTGTAATTATCATTTAGAAGATTAAATATTTTTGTATTATCCCATAGATGATTATATATATGTTTGTATTATCCCGTAGAAGATTATATATATGTTTGTATTATCCCGTAAAAGATTATATATATGTTTGTATTATCCCTTAGAAGATTATATATATGTTTGTATTATCCCATGGAAGATTATATATATGTTTGTATTATCCCATGGAAGATTATATATATGTTTGTATTATCCCATAGAAGATTATATATCAGTTTGTATTATCCCGTAGAAGATTACTTATCAGTTTACATTTCTCATAAAAGAAAACATATCTGTTTACATTATTCCATAGAAGATTAAATATATTTGTATTATCTTGTAGACGATTGCATATCTGTTTTGTATTATCTCATAGAAGATGAATTATCTGTTTGTATTATCCATTAGAAGATTACACATCTGTTTGTATTATCCAATAGAAGATTACATATCTGTTTGTATAATTTTGTAGAAGATTGCATATCTGTTTTTTAATATCCCATAGAAGATTGCATATCTGTTTTGTATTATCCCATAGAAGATTACACATCTGTTTGTATTATCCCATAGAAGATTACACATCTGTTTTGTATTATCCCATAGAAGATTACATATCTGTTTGAATTATTCCATAGAAGATTACACATCTATTTGTATTATCCCATAGAAGATTATACATCTATTTGTATCATCCCATAGAAGATTACCCATCTATTTGTATTATTTCATAGAAGATTATGCATCTGTTTGTTTATCCCATAGACGATTACACATCTATTTGTTTTATCCCATAGAAGATTACATATCTGTTTGTATTATCCCATAGAAGATTACACATCTATTTGTATTATCCCATAGAAGATTACACATCTATTTGTATTATCCCATAGAAGATTACACATCTGTTTGTATTATCCCATCGAAGATTACACATCTATTTGTATTATCCCATAGAAGATTACACATCTATTTGTATTATCCCAGAGAAGATTACACATCTATTTGTATTATCTCTTAGAAGATTACACATCTGTTTGTATTATCCCATAGAAGATTACACATCTATTTGTATTATCCCATAGAAGATTACACATCTATTTGTATTATCCCATAGAAGATTACCTGTCTATTTGTATTATCTCATGGAAGATTATGCATCTGTTTGTTTATCCCATAGAAGATTACACATCTATTTGTATTATCCCATAGAAGATTACACATCTATTTGTATTATCCCATAGAAGATTACACATCTATTTGTATTATCCCATAGAAGATTACACATCTATTTGTATTATCTTATAGAAGATTACACATCTATTTGTATTATCTCATAGAAGATTACACATCTATTTGTATTATCCCATAGAAGATTACACATCTATTTGTATTATCCCATAGAAGATTACACATCTATTTGTATTATCCCATAGAAGATTACACATCTATTTGTATTATCCCATAGAAGATTACACATCTATTTGTATTATCCCATAGAAGATTACACATCTATTTGTATTATCTTATAGAAGATTACACATCTATTTGTATTATCTCATAGAAGATTACACATCTATTTGTATTATCCCATAGAAGATTACACATCTATTTGTATTATCCCATAGAAGATTACACATCTATTTGTATTATCCCATAGAAGATTACACATCTATTTGTATTATCCCATAGAAGATTACACATCTATTTGTATTATCCCATAGAAGATTACACATCTATTTGTATTATCCCATAGAAGATTACACATCTATTTGTATTATCCCATAGAAGATTACACATCTATTTGTATTATCCCATAGAAGATTACACATCTATTTGTATTATCTTTGTATTATGCTTGATTTTTTTCAGTCTCTTGGGTTAACCAAGTTTTACTCTAGTTAGTTAGTCAATGATCGTCCTAATCGCACAAGTCCATAATCGCTCAGATCCCATCTTCAGCATCTCCTTCAGCATGTAGCCACTAACACCAGCTATGTAGTAGTTCACTATTCGTCTATGGCTACCTGTATATTGTCCATACACATGATGTGTGAATGAAATGATGTGTGAATGAAATGATGTGTGAATGAAATGATGTGTGAATGAAATGATGTGTGAATGACATGATGTGTGAATGAAATGATCTGTGAATGAAATGATGTGTGAATGAAATGATGTGTGAATGAAATGATGTGTGAATCAAATGATGTGTGAATGAAATGATGTGTGAATGAAATGATGTGTGAATGAAATGATGTGTGAATGAAATGATGTGTGAATGAAATGATGTATGAAAGGAGTGAGACTAGAAGGGCAAAAGTTAGAAGGGCTTGCATGTTCAATTCTTGACCCTTTGAAAGTAAATTTTTGTGTGTGTGGTTAATTCGTTCGGCCATATCTGGCAGTAAATCTTTTGACATGAAGTTGTTGTAGTCTTCTCAAGATTGCTGATTCATTATCTTTTCCTGAATCACTTACTTGTCCTGCTTTCTTGAGAGTATTGAGTACAACAGCCAGGTCCACTGCTTTTTCCATGTCTACCATATTCCTAGGAGCCGCTGTGGTGTACTGGCTAGATGCTCACCTGCAGATCAGAAGGTTTTGGGTTTGGATCCTGGTGGTACCAGGGTGTTTTTTTTTTAACTTTTTAAATTTTAAATGATCTTGACTGCTAGGTCGACCAAGCCTTGAATGGGTACCAGGTGAATTCCTGGGTAAGTGCCGATCTGTCTGTAAAATATAGGTCCAACCTGTCTTCCTAATATGCCTGAAGGGGTGGAAAAGGGTCCTTCACTTGACGTGTTTTACCATATTTCTGCCAGCAAGCCAATCTGCTCGTTCATTCCCTTTTACCCCATTGTCCTTTCCTCAAAAATGAAACAGATCTGCTGTCAGACGAGATTTCTTTAGAGACTCCAACCATTGTCTTTGAGCCCATCCTATCTTGGTCTTCTTAATCATGTTCATGGAGTCAGGAAGCATCCATGGGGTGAAAAGTCTTGTTTCTAGCCAGGTCATTGCATTGCTTTTGTTAAAGTAGTAATAGTAATAACAGTTTTAAAAACTGTAACATGTTTGAATGGTGGATGTCGAAAAGTTGTTATGAATAATCATCATAAAGGAGTTCCACCTTGTTTAGATTACATGTTTTTTAATAGTTTTAATACTTGTGTGCTATCTTCCGAATAACGGCCCCAAATTATCGAGGCCGAAAATATACCCTAACGGGCTTTAGTCACATGTCAATTGCGGACTTCTGCCACCGCCGAGAGTATTTCCCACGCCGCTACGCACGGCGTGGATTGTGGCTAAACTAGATGGCTAGGACTCACGAGGAAATAAAATGAAGGAAGCTGCAGGAGATGCTGTAGTTGCTGCTTGTGAGTCCCAGCCATCTAGTTTAGCTCTAATCAATGCCACACGTAGCGGCATGAGAGATACTCTAGGCGATGACGGTAGTCGCCGGAAGTGCGCAACTTAAGTTGCCGGAAGTCCACAATTGACATGTGACTGAGGCCCTGTTAGGGTATATTTTCAGCCTCGATAATTTCCGGAAGATAGCCATCTTTTGTTTTTTGAAATTCTTGTACAGCATACAGAGTTTGTAACTTCTTGCTGAATGCACATTCTGCTACAATATATTGCTTTCCTTCATAATTTTACTCTTGTCGGCAGCACTGTCTCTCTAGGTACATTTTTACTTCCTCTTCTGTCAGTACTTTTTCAACTGGGCCTCTATTTCCAGCAGAGATGTGTTGTTTTTGCCTTCAGCTTCTTGGCTCTTCTTATTTTCCTTAGCTTTCACTAGCTGTAAGCTGTGGTGGAAAGTTCTGGTTGTTCATCCATTACTGGACTTTGGACTTATTTCAGAGTTTTCTATACACATTTATTTTACAGATCTGGCCTATGTGTATGCAGACATTTTGTTCTTTGCCTCGCATTCAGACGCACTCTGACTTCAAAGGAAACACCCCTCATTATAAGACATGCTTGTTAGTCAACACATGTGCAAAAATCTGCTTTTTTCTTGGAACTTCCAGAATGGTTCAAATGTGTTGGGAATCAGCCGTCTGCTGGCGGCAGTCATGGAAGCCATGTGTCACCCAGCGGTGAAGCTGACCGCCATCATGCCCATCAACTGTGAGCCGGAGACTGAGGCAGTGCTGCGGCGGCATAGCATGAGTATTGATGATAACACCAACGCCATGGCTCGGGTTGGGGAAATGCACCGATACCCCTTGCTGGCTTCACACATGACCTGCAGAACAGAGGTGAGAACAGTAGGTGGTTGCGTGGTGTATGGTTGTGGGGTATCTAGGTGGGTGATACCTCAAGGCTTGAGTCTCTTATTGCCTCTGTCAGCAAAAGTCCAACTCCTGGCCTTCTTGTAACAGTGCCGGTTTCTGGCGCTATAACCTGATGCTTCGGACAGGTGAAGCCTGTCAGCACAGAGTGCAGCTCATCCAGGAGAAGGAACTCTCTGATCTCACGCCTCTTGTATCGCCTTTGTGGCGACACCCTATTGAGGGACACCGCTTCGAGAGTGAATCCTGAGGAAAAATCTGGAGCTGGAAACACCAAGGCAAGGCGGTTCAGCAGTGTTGACACTACTGCTCTGGCAATTCTGGCAGTGTCTTTGGTAACAAGCTGTATTGGCACCTGTCTTTTCCTTGGTGTTACCGGTGATGTAGAGAGGGGGTACCTGCTGTCTGGGAAGCAGCCTATACTCCATTTCAACATGACCAGGCTCTGGAGAGGTTACTCCAGTGTTGCTTAACAGCTTATACTAACTTCTTTTGGGGTAGACAGTGAAAGACAGTCTGTCGCAGTTTGAAATAAGTCAAATGCAGCACGCTAGAGAGAGAAGACATGTGAGAGAAAACCAGTCTCAGAATGATAGAATATCATCGTTTGATGTGGACTGTGCGTGGCAAAGTCTACCATTCCCGAACTGGACTTTACAGTAATAGCAGACGCTGTTCTCACAACCAGAGGCAGAACTCCGAGGTCCCCAGGGACTGACGGTTGCCTACTGTCCTATAGAGTTGTGTGGTCTGTGGTTATATTACCATGACTGAGGTTGCAGAGATGCACATTTACTCTTTGCTGGCTTCACATAAGACAGAAGTGAGAGCACAGTTTATGGTTGTATGGTGTCTTGTTGTGTGGTGTCATTGTGTGGTATGTTGGTATGGGGTAGTTGGTTGTGTGGTATGGGAGTGTAGGATATTTTGGTAGCATTGGGTTGAGAATGTGCACAGATACCCCTTGCCTTGCTGGCTCTCACATGACCTGTAGGCCAGAGATGAGAGCTGTATTTTATGCTACTGTGGTATCTGGTTGTGTGGTTTGTGGGTTTGGGATATGTGGTTGAGTGCTGTGTGGTATGTATGGCTGTGTGGTTATCACCAAACAGGCACTGAAATTGGAACATCCAAAAGAAACACTGAAAGGAACATTAATTAAAGAGGCCAAATATGCTGGACTGGATTCCATCTTTGATATTGAATTAATCGCATAGGCTGAAATGGAATGGAGGAAAGTCTGAGCCTTATTTGACTTGTAATGGCACAACAGGACAATGAGGATGTTATCTCTAAAGAGAAATGAAAGAAAGTGAACATTCTGTCCCATTTGTCAGTTATTTGAAACCTTGATATTGTATTGATCTCACAGGAAGACACCATGCCAGCCAGTTCCCATGTGACATTCAAGGAAGTCCTGGATCGTCTGCTGATGGTCGTCTCTGTTCCTGTGAGACAACTGCTCAACAAGGAGACTCCAGCTTTCCCTCCGGCTCTTGTCGCCAACACTTGTGCTCTTCTGACCACCATCATTGGGGAACTTGCAGCCACGGCCATGGGCTTAGAGGTAGTTAGTTAATTGCTTCTTCTGTTTCTTCTTCTCTTGTTCTGTTCTGCTGTTCAGGGTCAGGTTTTGAATAGACATCAGGTGTGAGACTTGGTGTGTGTTATGTAAATACTGGTATTTACAGCCTCAGATATTTAGCATAAATCCATCACATGTGTGGTGGACCTCTAACTCTGCTTCTGTTATGTCTAAGTTTGCTTGTTAGGGGGCAGTCTGTTTATTATCCCCCCTCCCCCAAGATGGGGTCTCAACCCCATAGCGAGTATGAGGAAACATTTTGACAAAAACATATGATTAAAACTAATGGCATCAGGGATCAGTATGGTACCCATGAGAAAAAATATGGTTCAACAGATGAAATGAAACTTTTATTTTAAATTAATACAGTAGACATATGTTTAAAAAAAAGGCGTCTGGAACTGCACATATCCCTGTTGATTCTGATGCAGAGCTGAAGTGGGCAGGCGCTATAATAAATTATCACAGTAAGGTGAGAGATCATGCTCAATGCACATCAGACCATTCAGTCGTCCATATCTACTCAGATCCTCTCCCCAGCATATCCCTCAGCAGCACATAGTGGGTGACTGATGACATCAGTTATAAGCTGAAAAACATCAGTCTAGACAAAAAGTGGAACTAATTACCTTCACATTAGCACACCTGTGGACAACAACATGAATGTTGGGGCTAGCAAGCCTTCATCAGCATACACGACAAATGGACAGATATGCATCTTTTCCTTGATTTATGACCATCTGCACTTACCACCACCAAAAAAAAATATTAAGAAATATAGTAAATGAAGAAAGAAAGATAAAATTGGTATGGTTAAAAAAAATTAAGATATAGTAAAGAAAAAAAGAAAGATAACATTGGTGTGGTTAAAAGAAATTTCTGGAAGTGATACGTACAATGTACATGGAGACCTGTGTACACTAATTATACGTACATAGATTGGATTTTTGTGTTTATATTATAACGGATGTGAATGAAAATAGTGTTGAAATTATAAATTTAAGTTACATTTTATAACCAGTTAGAATTAAAATAGTGTTGAAAATATAAATTTAACTTACAATATATTTTATAACCAGTTAGAATTCAAATAGTTGTGAAAATATCAATTTAAATTACAATATATTTTATAACCAAGTAGAATTAAAATAGTGTTGAGAATATAAATTTAACTTACATCTTTTAACCAGTTTCAATAAAAATAGTGTTAAAAATTATAAATTCAGCTGATGACCAGTTTGACTTACGACATTTTAGCCGGAACAGAATTTGGTCGTAAGTCAAGAAGACCCAGTGCAATTACATACAAGAATATATCAAATCACTTTACACTGAGGTTGAACAGTAAAGGCTCTACATTCATGCGTCATCCCTGGATTAAGATACTAGACAGGAAGTGACCCAGTTGGTGGGATCGTCAGGCGATGTAGGGATAGTTGTGAGTTCTCAGTGAGTTTACAGTTCTTTGTTAGTTTGTACAATTTTTAAAACATGTTTTTCCAATTGACAGATGAGCATCAATGTGTCCTCACGGCCCATGTTGGTGACCCCGAACCGCTTTATGCGATGCAGCAACACCTGTCAGTGGAACACAGGTAAGGGCAGCCCGGATGGTATTGCCTTCTCCGTGGACAAGCCTGGGATTGTCATGGCTGGAATCTGTGTCTATGGAGGTTCTGGAACTTACGAGTATGAAGTTGAGGTGCTGAAGGAAGAGGTGAGTTGTCATTTGTCTTGTTAACTGTGGGCGTTCATCTTAATTTTGATTTCAAGAGCTATTTTAACTCAGTTACTTACTCTGGGAATGCTAAACAAAATGGGTCCTGAACCTGTGGTAATCCCCCCCCCCCCCCCCCCAAATCCTGTATTTAAAAAAAAAAAAACATTACACAAGTCACTAAAATTGCTTTTAAATTAATGTAATGTCATTTTTCCTTTTTTGTTGTTGACAATATATAAAGATAAACAAAGGGGTAATCGAGAAACATGAATAAGGTGAAGCATTAAATGGAATAAATCTCCCCCCCCCCCCCCCCCTTTTCCCCTCAATTATTGGGTGTCTCATGCTGTGACCTCATGACCTCTATCACTGAGATTTGGGGGAAATTTGACATCAACTTGACTTTTAAAAACCATTAGGGTCATAAGTAAACCCTCCTCCAATTACTGTTTTTATTACTATATTTATACCCTGGCCTATTAATCACTGTGCAGGGGGCATATAGGATCCACGGCTGCCAACTACGCGTTTCGAGGACAGATCACTACAGAAATGGCCATAAATCGGCATTTACAGGACTTTGTCACAACCAGCAGAAGTGACTAAATTTAGTCTTCTCGGGATGATACAATTAATTGCCAAGTTAGGAGAACTACTGTCTGGAATCTTTTGTCTCTGGTTTATTTCTTGTCTTATTAATCTTTCCAGTTGTTGCAGTATTTGTCTTCATCTTCAAGAATGTGGGAAATGCGATGGCTGGCACACTTGCCTGCCTGTGCTGTGGACATATGTTTGAAATGTTTCCGTGCAGAGATTTTTGAAAGTTGACTTCATCTTCAGGCGGACCCAACTTTAATAAATTCTGTGCTGGTGGGAAGTAAAGGTGGCTAGCAGTATAGAGATTGTTACCTCACCAAAGAAGCGCCGATTAGTCAGTGCACATTTTTTAATTGTAGCATATACACAACAAAATCATAAGGCAGCTGTCAGATGTGCCAGCACTAACAATCCCACACCAGAATTGCAGCTCACTAATTTGCATGTGCAGGCTTGCAGATTTTGTGGGACTGACAAGTGTTTCACTAGCTTTCGAACAGGGCAGTGAAGGACATTTTGTGTGATTTCCGCTGGCATGGGAATCTAGCAGTTTGAGAGCAACCTGTCTGCAGTTATGCTGGTACCTCAACTAACTAACTAACCAACTAACACACTATGATATGCTCAAGGTATTTGTAAGGAGTCATTTTCTCTATGATAATCTATGGTTACATTATTAATTTATGAGGTCAGACACTGAACATGAATTATGTGCTGGAGTGGGTGACAAAATCACAGGCGAATCATGGCGCAAGGAAAAATGTTGGTCAAACTAGAAAATTGCTTATCTCGTGCCAGTGGGTGAGCAGAAGAATCATAAGGAGTGAACGCTGTAGAACACTCCATCCATGGGATTGAAATGTTATTTAACGCCTGAAAGGATTAAGAATGATGAATCTCGTTTGGATTCTAAGAACAGTGTGTTTGTGATGAATTAAAGTTATGAGTTGACTGTGAATTCTAGGCCAAACCTGGCTATTGTTCATATGACGATTCTGGTCAACATTGGATATCTTGTGATTCAGCGTGGAAGATTGGGGCAGTTTAGTTTTTCCTTAGATATGTTATGTGTTTTGTCAACATACAGGTAATTATGGCCGTTGAACTAAAGATCGTGTAATAGTTGTGAATTGTGATCCATGGACTGTCCCTACAGGGTGTCCTTGTTGAAGGCGATTGAGTGAAGTTTAATAAACATTGCCATTATCATCAGCTGTATATTCGCCGTGTCCTGTTTCAACCTGTTGTAGTGTAAACTGGTATGCACCCTAGGAGTTTGCAATGGCTAGAGCCAAGAGACTGTTAGAAAGAGAGTAATTACAGTATTTCTACAGAGACTGACAAATGTTGATGCCATCTTGATTGCAGGAGAGTACCGAAGGTCAGAAACAGAGTGGCAAACCCGAATCATGGACCAGCCTGGAGGTCGTCAAGGGAGTCTTCACGCAGGAGGATTGTATGAATGACATTGCTGAGATCAAGTTTGATCGACCCTTGCCTCTCAAGGTAAGATAGCTGCTACATTCAGTATGACAAGTACTCCGTTTGCGTTCTAGGACCCACATTCTGGGATAGATAAAAGACCCCACTTTCCCGCTGATAAGCTTGTTGTAAAATTGACTAATTTAGCTCCCCGTGTGGGTTCCGGGACTCTACTATGGAGAGAACAAGAATAGACCCGCTGCCTCCCCAACAAACATGTCATAAGAGTTGATAATCGGGTGCTTCCCTCGAAGTCAGAGTGCATCTGCCTGAGAGACAATGAACTAACAGTCCGCATAAAAGTAAGTCAGATCTGTAAAATGGATATGCATGCAACACTCAGGTTCTGGAACAAGACTAATGTTCAGAGGTGGATGAACAACCAGAACCCTCCCCCAGAGTTTATAGCTCTGAACGCTAAGAAGAAGAAGAAGACTTATTTAGCGATTAACAGAAATCAGATATGCTGGCTGAAAGATGCGTATATCATAGCCTAGCTGTAAACTACAACACGCCATGCCAACTGTCCATTTAAGAATGAATATAACAGAATAATAAGAATATAAGTATCATTCTTCTTTTAGGAGCTCTCAGGTTTGCCCAGCCTTAAGTGGTTACAAGGTAAAGTCCTAGGAAGTAAAGGCAGCCTGTATGTTATTGACCACATCACCCACCGAGCACCGACTGGTTTATAAAATATAGGTCTTGCCCTGTATACCCGATATGTCTGATGGCGTGGCTGAAAGTCCTTTACTTTACTTATGAGTTATGATTTGGGTTATCTTTTTGGCACTCCGGACGTGTCCATAGGTGCTCAGATTCCCCCTTCAGCATATACATCAGCATCCAGTTGATAGTCCCAGTCCTATGTTGGTTGACAAGACTTCTGTGCATCCAGCGTGCTTCTCGTGCCTGGTTGTTCGGATCTTTACTCCCAATTTTTACACTGTTAGCAAAGATGTGGATTTGATGCTCCCAAAATCCTCCAGTCGTCCTACCTCTCTAATGGCATTAACAATGTCGTCATGATCCATGCGCTGGCCCTCTGTAACTAAGGCAGAGCCGGCTAATCTGTCAGCTCTTTCATTTCCAACAGCACCCGCACACCCTGGGACATGCCTTGGATCCCCCAGCAGAGAAAAACTCCCTCAACCAAATCACAAGATGCTCTTTGTGGAGATGATCATTGTTAATTATTTTGTGCAGCTGAAGTTTTCTATAAGATGCTGCAGCCTGCTTCAGAATAATCATCCTTCTTGTAAGTTGCATGTTAGGTTACAACACTGATTCCCAAACTTTGCGCCGCTGCACCCCAGGGAGCCCCGACCTTTTCACAGTAGCTGCGCGAAATATTCGAAGACATGCACATTTTGTTTTGTTTTAAATCTCTTGCATACGAATTGACATACTTTTATTTAGGTTAGGATGGGGTAGACAATTTTTAATTGGAAAAAAAGGCGCCAGGACTGAGACAAGTTTAGGAAACATTGGGTTGCAATGTTATTCATTTTCTTCCTCTAGTTCGCTGGCTGTAAACTCTAGTGGAAAATTGTTTATCCACTTCTAGACTTTAATATTGTTCTGGAACTTGCGGTTGTTGCTTGGACATCGATTTTACAGATCTGGCTTATTTGTATGCAGACTTTTGGTTTCTTGCCTCACAGACACATGCACACCGACGTCCAAGGGAAACCCCTAATTAATTCACTTGTCTGACGTGCTTGTTAAGAGGGCATGCTGTAGAATGCTGTACAATACCCACATCACAGCTTGTTATTCTGAAATAAAAAACAGAATGAGATTTAGGCAAGGCTGATGATATTAGTAAGTTGTGTATCCTTTACAGGACGTTACAGAACCAACCCCAGCATTTTTTTGCCTGTTGTGGTTTTTCTAGACAAATGCTTCATTTATTAGTTTGCCATTGTTTTCTGAACGGTCTGCTGTCGCTACCACTGTCAAAACCAGGGCAAGAAAAATCGTCCACAGCTGGGATCGAACCCAGCCTTACGAAGGTAATATAAAGATAACTTTTCTCACTGAATCCCTTGAACTCTGCAGGAGGGCCAGAAGTATGCAGTGCTGCTGAAGAACAATGGTCAGCGGACAGTGCATGGAGACAGTGGAATCACCAAGGTCCGCTGCTCAGATGGAACTGTGTTCACATTTTACTCTTGTGTCCAGAGCACCAACGGAACCAACATCATTCGAGGTCAAATCCCTCAGATTCTGTACTACAGGTGTAACCTTATTTGTGGGCTGTTTTTTTCTGTTTCACCTTCTGTATTGAGTTTGTGTGGAATCAATCTTTTGTTTTTACAATTCACCCACTATGTTTTTACAGTTATTCTGTAAGGTTTATATTCAAAGGCTTGTCAGCAGAAGTGTTCATTTTTTGAGGTTTGAACTCTAATCCCTATATGGGTTCTGAGTTCCCATTTTGATGAGAAAAATAATACAACAACCCCTCCTTCCCTTTACCCCGCCACCACTACCCCCACGTCAAACTATGTTGTAAAAGTAGATTTATTAAGTTTGTTACTGTGTTGGAAGTTGAAGTGCATCTGCCTGAGGGGCAAGGCACGAACAGTGTGCATGGAAATGACTGACTTTCTACCCCACCAGGACATCACACAAGCGACAAACACCCGATGACACAATGTGCCACCATGTGGATGAGGATCACTGTGGAGAGGTCCCAGAAACCGTGTTCAGCCATTAGGCCATATTTATGGCCGGGCTATATTGCGGCCCCTTGCATGAGCCAGAGTAGGGGTTCAAATAACGAAAAATGTCATCCTTAAAAGGACGGCAAGATTGTTACATGCATGGAAATAAGCCACATCTGTGGAACAAGACCAAAGTCCAGAAGTGAATGAACAGTCACAAATTTTCACTGGAGTTTATAGCTGGTGAATGTTAAGAAGAAGAACTCTGTAAGTTGCCACAGGAACTAGTAATTTTTAAGTGTACTGATTTTATTGTTCTGTTACTTCCAGTATGTGGCAAGCATTGCATTAAGGGTCCTGGGTGGTTGGCATCCTTGGGATTTTTATCCATGATATACAGGTGTGTAAGGGAATGAACATGAAGTCATACTGGCTGTTTCTGTACCACTTCTGTAGCACAGAGTGGTGAACTGATGCACGACAAGCTGGACGTAGTCAAGACCCTTTGTGAGCAGGTGAACAGTGCAGAAAGATGAACAGGTTATTGTGGTCTAGAGAGAAGGTGTAGCTGGAAATATAACCAGGGGATCTGGCCAACATTATACACTCAAAGACAAGGCAACACAGACATATAATCAGATTGCTACTGGTACTGTCAAAATTTGAACTCTTTGCTGGCTGCTGAAGATGTAGAGCACTTATAGAATTGTCCTGAATGCTGTGATGTCAGTTCTTAATTCAGCTCAACATGTTACAGGATAGGACCTCTTAGTGCCCTCACTTTTGTTGCGCTATCTGTTTCAGTCAGTAAAGGTTTTAATCGTTTGAGTTTGTTTCCTAATCTAGCTAATGATTATTATCCCTTCTGAAGCCTGCCTTAGTGTGTTGCAAGGCTGTTCAACCAAGTTCACTCAGGAACCAAATGTGGAGAATGGGGATGATCATGAGCCAGAGGCCCAAGCTCCAGCGTAGACAGATCATTAATATACCACAGCTGGCAACAATCTATCAGCTCTTTTTCTTCTTCTTGAGTTCTCCGGCGAAAAGCTCTAGTTGTTCATCCACCTCCGGACTTGAGTCCTGTTCTAGAACATAAGAGTTACCTATACATCCGTTTTTACAGATCTGGCTTATTTGTATGGTTCCTTACCTCTCAGGCAGATGCGGTCTGACTTCGAAGGAAGCGCCCCCCCCCCCCCCCCCCCATTAGTCAACGCCTATAACATGCTTGTTAGGGAGGCAGTGGGTTTATTCTTGTTTTCCCCACACAGGGACCCCGGGACCCACACAGGTAGATCTATCAGCCACTTGCTAGGCCTCTGCGGGCTGGATTCAGCCAGTGGACCATCAATTTAATATCCCCGGTGTGGTGGCCAATCTGCCTGCCAGTCTGAAGAGCTGGGGTTCAAATCCTCATTGATGCAGATTTTTGTTTCAAAATTGAACTTGGCTCCCGAGTCAACACAGACAAAAATGGTTAGCAGGTAATGTCTTTGGATGGTAAGGCAGCCAGCTGGCTTGGTATTTACCCCCATCACCTATCTAATGATGATTGATCTACAAAAATATAGATATAGTTGATCTACAAAAATATAGATCTCGCTGATCTACAAAAATATAGATCTCGCTGATCTACAAAAATATAGATATAGTTGATCTACAAAAATATAGATATCGCTGATCTACAAAAATATAGATCTCGCTGATCTACAAAAATATAGATCTCGCTGATCTACAAAAATATAGATCTAGCTGATCTACAAAAATATAGATTTAGCTGATCTACAAAAAATATAGATCTAGCTGATCTTCAAAAATATAGATCTAGCATTGTGTGCCCAGTCCCCAGAGTGAGTGAAAAAGATCTACTTTAAAGTAATTTTTTTTTTTTTTTTAAATTTAAACTCTTCATTTTCAGCACACCCCAGGAAGGAGAGCCACAAACACAGAGCAGCCGCAACCTGATGGAGCTCCTAGCCAGAAGGAATGCTATTGACATCTGTGGGGCAATCGTTCATATGACAACAGAACTACTGCACAGGGCACACTCACACGCTGGTATGTTTGTCTATGGTTGTCTATTTATGCTGAAAGTTGATTTTTTAAAAAATGTATATATATATTTGTCCGTTATGCAGCAATTAATTTTTAAATATGGTTATCAGTTTGTGCTGACAATTGATATTGATATTTAGTTGTATATTTATGCTGAGTGTTTATTTTTTTTGATACTTCTGTTCAGTGGACACAGTCGGAGACATTCTGGGCTCTTCACATCTGTTCTCATCCCTGCTGCCCCTAGCCCTGGCATATGCTGGACCTGTTGCTGTTCAAGATCCTAGAGTGAGTACTTTGGTTACAGTTAACCTTGATTTTACAAGATAGCACACCCACTGTTATCAGTGGGCCTTCGACCCACTTTATCAGAGGATCTCCAACCCACTGTTATCAGAGGGTCTCCAACCGACTGTTATCAAAGGGCCTTCAACCAACTGTTATCAGAGGGCCTCCAACCGACTGTTATCAGAGGGTCTCCAACCGACTGTTATCAGAAGGCCTCCAACCGACTGTTATCAGAGGGCCTCCAACCAACTGTTATCAGAGGGTCTCCAACCGACTGTTATCAGAGTGTCTCCAACCGAATGTTATCAGAGGGTCTCCACCCGACTGTTATCATAGGGTCTCCAACCGACTGTTATCAGAGGGTCTCCAACCGACTGTTATCAGAGGGCCTCCAACCGACTTATCTATCAGAGGGCCTTCAACCGACTGCTATCAGAAGGTCTCCACCCGACTGTTATCAGAGGGCCTTCAACCGACTGTTATCAGAGGGTCTTCAACCGACTGTTATCAGAGGGTCTTCAACCGACTGTTATCAGAGGGTCTTCAACCGACTGTTATCAGAGGGTCTTTAACCGACTGTTATCAGAGGGCCTTCAACCGACTGTTTTCAGAGGGTCTTCAACCCACTGTTATCAGAGGGCCTCCAACCGACTTATCTATCAGAGGGCCTCCAACTGACTTATCTATCAGAGGGCCTTCAACCGACTGTTATCAGAGGGCCTCCAACCGACTTATCTATCAGAGGGCCTTCAACCGACTGCTATCAGAGGGTCTCCAACCGACTGTTATCAGACTGCCTCCAACCGACTGTTATCAGAGGGTCTCCAACCTACTGTTATCAGAGGGCCTCCAACCGACTTATCTATCAGAGGGCCTTCAACCGACTGTTATCAGAGGGGCTTCAACCGATTTATCTATCAGAGGGCCTTCAACCGACTGTTATCAGAGGGCCTTCAACTGACTGTTATCAGAAGGTCTCCATGGCTAAGTGGTAAAACTGTTTGCCTCGCAGTCCTAAGGATGTGGGTTTTCTAGAATATTTATCAGTGTGTGCATCTAGGACCCTATTTTGAATAGGTCCATTACTGCCTCCAACCCCACTCCATCCCAAAAAGCATTTTATAAAAATGACTAATTAAGGGTTTGCTGAAATTGGCTATATTTGACCAGAAGGTACAGATGGAGATGTAATTAAATGTAAATCTTTTAATGCTGTGATTTCTAAAAGGGTGCCGCGAAATATTTGAACATACACAAGTTTTTTGTTTTTTTTATCTCTTACATAGGAATAGTCATACTTTTACTTAGGTTGGGGCTCTGTGGAAAAATTTTAATTGAAAAATAAAAGTTTGGAAAACACTGTTTTAATGTTTAGAAGGGAGCGCTTTCTCAAATCTGGCGTTGTGGTGGTGGTGGTGGTGGTGGGGGGGGGGGGGGGGGGAGGTGTCAGCCAAGAGCTTACATATATTAATGTTTATAAGGTCTTGAAAATGTTAAAAAATAGAGAGAGAGGGGGGAGGGAGGGAGAGAGAGAGTGGGGGGCAGCAGCAGCAGCCAAGAAGTGTAACTAAACTTGAATGTTTCAATGTCTTTTAGGGCGCTGTTCAAGTCTTGAACCTGGTCCAGGAGATTCTCCCAGCCGTCTCAGGCCTGACTCGCTCCATGGTACCAGTTCCCATGACCGCCAGTGTACAAGATGGCAGCACCAGTCTCACCGGTGGTATTGCTGACATGGCCGCCACCACGACCACCACCAGCCAGCATTATGCTGTTGTGGAGAGCGAGCACCCTTACAAGCCGACCAGTGTGGTGAACTACAAAGTAAGATGGGCGGAGGTCTTGTCTGTTTTGTGTCTTCTGGGATCCCAGGACCCCGGTTTTGGGGGGCAAAAAGAATAGACCCATTGCACTTCTAACAAGCATGTCTTAGAAGTCGACTAATTAGAGATGTTTCTGTGTGGGTTCTGGAGCCCATTCTCTCTCTCTCTCTCTCTCTCTCTCTCTCTCTCTCTCTCTCTCTCTCTCTCTCTCTCTCTCTCTCTCTCTCTCTCTCTCTCTCTCTCTCTCTCTCTCTCTCTCTCTCTCTGTCTGTCTGTCTGTCTGTCTGTCTGCCTCTCTCTCTCTCTCTGTATCTGTCTCTCTGTCCCTCTGTCTCTCTGTCCTCTCTCTGACTCTCTGTGTGTGTCTGTCTGTCAGTCAGTCTGTCTGTGTGCGTGCATGGGTGTGTGTGTGTGGGGGGAGGGGGGTATAGATCCACTGCCCCTCTAACATGTGCATCCTAAAAGCCAACTAAACAGGGAAGTTTCCTTTGAAGTTGCATCTAATGGCAAATAACCAATAGTCTGCATAAGCCAGATCTGTAAAATGGATGTGCATGCAAAACTCAAGTTCTGGAACAAGACTAAAATCAAAAAGTGGAGGAACAACCTGAGTTCACAGCTGGGGACACACAAAGAAAAAGAAGATTTGTTTGTTATATTACATGGAGGTGAGGTGCGGAGGTGAAATCTTATTGTGGCGGAAAATTTGTGCATTCAACTAAATGTTTCTTTTGTTTTGTTTTGTTGTTGTTGTTGTTGTTTTGTTGGTATCCATGGAGGGCACGTTAAAAGAAGAAAAACTGTAACCTGTTGTGACAGCAGGAGAGCTTAATGAAAAGTAAGATAGAGGATCCAAGAGATTTTTGACAGCCTTGTGACATGGAAAGGTAAAGTACCAGCAAATGAATTTATGTATGCTATTGAAGATTGAAAAATGCGTGGAAGCATAATTGCCTCTACCAATCAACAAGGCACTTGATGATGACGATAATGACACATGTCTATTTTAGGTTCCTTTAGTGTTAGGTTAGTTGTTTATCCTTTACAGGACATTGCAGAACCAACCCTAACAGCCCCTGGCTGTTGTGTGGTTTTTCGTGGCAAATTTACATCCAGTAGTTTGCCATTGCTTTCTGGACGGTCGACTTTCTTGATACCACTGTCGCAACCAACACAAGGCGCGTGGCCCACAGCTGGGATCAAACCCGGCATTACGAAGCGTTCGCATTGAATTAGCCACAGAGCCAACCCTTCAGTGTTATTTAGTTCAAACAACAGAAATGAAAATGTCTACAATGAATCCTCTGTGTAACTAGAAGAGTCGCGATCAGAAATGACGATATCAGTTGGAAAGGAACTAGTACTATACTAGATCGGGCGTCTGGAGCTTAGGCGTTTTGAACACGCTTCGTAATACCCGGGCGACGGGTTTAACCTAGCTGCGGACTGTTGGTTTTGATAGTGGTGCTGAGAGCTGACCATCCAGTAGGCAGTAACAAACTACTAAACGTAAAATTTGCCTAGAAAAACCACAACAGCCAAAAAAAAAAGCTTGGGTTGGTTCTGCAGCATCCTGTAAAGGATACACAACTAACTAAAACTGTACTTGATCAAGAGACAATAGATCACATGGTTTGGACATGTTTCAAGACTACCGCCAGATAGTGTATCAGAGAGCCCTGTCATTTAGACATAATAGAAGCAGAGCTAGAGCTTGACCACACAAGCGATGGATAGATAGAATATCCTAGGCCATAAATATCAGAGGCTACAGAGCACATACCAAGGCTCACTCCTGATGACTCTTCAAAACCGGACGCTGAAAGGCAGATTGTGACTAGAGAAGGAGAAGTAGTCTGTATTTGATTGTCTGCAGTGCAGTAGAACTGCTTTCAGCACACTTCTGTTCTCTTGCACAGGTGGAGTTTCCTGCTTGCGTGCGGTGGATGATTGTTGAATTCGACCCCCAGTGTGCCACAGGTCAACAGGAGGATTCCCTTCAGCTGTACATACCTTCATACCACATGAGCAAGGCAGGGCTGAACCAGGGTCAGGGTCAGGTTGTCACCACCATCTCCAGCCCTGACCTTGACACCGCAGCCACTCATTGGCCAGTTTTGAAAAAGTTTTATGGAACTGCAGAGTGGCCAAAGTCTGCAGTTCTCTTGCCAGGTAAGCCATGAACAAACTTCATTGTTTTTCTTACATCATCAAAATGTCATGTCATTTGTGTGTCATCTTCCTGTCATATCATTTATATGCAATGTAGGGCTCACAGTCTCTATTCCATTCATTCATGTGCAATCTTTTCAATACCATGGATGTATTCCGGTCCAGCATCTTTGGCCTCCCTCTCTGTTTTCTTCGCAAGGTTTGTCTTGGACATCCTTACTTCCTCAGTCCATTTGGTTCCCATTTCAGCGCCTGTTTGGTGATTCTGTGTTTGCTTCTCTTCAAGATGTGGCCATATATCAGCATCTTCATCATCTTTTAACTGTTGATCCAAGCAGTTGTCCAGATCATCATCATCATGTGCCCTGCCAGCTGTTGTAGGTGCTCATGCGTCTCCACAGATCACGATCCCTGGTTGCCTGGAACAGCTTTCTTGATGATATCCCTCCATGCCATCATTTCAGCCCATCCAGCATCATCTCTCTTGGTCTGTTGTCCAGATGTTCGTCTTGTTTCTTCAATTCATCCTAATCACATATTGAAGTGATTTTTATTGTTCAATCTCCTCTGCCCTGAGAAGTCACAGTATTAACACACAGTGTTAAAGTCATTAACTCGGCTACCCCTTCTTCATTGATCGGTCTGTCCTGAAACTTATTTTAGGAAGCCAGTAGCCTTGATCAAAGTTACCTTGCAGTTTAAATCTCTCTGTGCACCATACAGCCTTGACTTGACTGACCAGGGAACATATCAGCCAGATGACTTGGTCCAGTCAGCAGAGTACAGTTTACAGTGGTCCAGTCAGCAGTGTACAGTTTACAGCAGTGTTTACCAAACTTTTGTTGGTCGCGGTGCCTTTTTTCAATTAAAATATTTCCACGGTGCCCTAACCTTAGTAAAAGTATGACTATTCGTGTCTTGGTTAAATTAATTATGGAGCTTTTACTATATTTTGCGGCGCACCCATTAAAGAGGTTGCGGCTCTCCAGGGCACCACAGGGCACAGTTTGGGAATCACTGGTTTACAGTATCAGAGTACATGTTCAGCATTTTCAGGCATTAAGTTGCTGGGACACATCTCCTAGTTTCCGATACTGAAAGACTTTTTACTTTGCTGACCTCAAGGTAGTGCCCTGTCCACCTTAGAGTTGTAAACTAGACCTCAGGCATATTATCAAATTGCTACTGGCACCATAAGAATTGGAACTATTTGTTGGCTGTTGTTCAACAGCACTAAAAGTCTGTGGTTAAGCACCAGCACCAAGAGAATCACAGTTACAATCTTGAGAGCATGTATCTTCCTTGTAGCAACATACGAACATATGGATGTGAGTCGTGGACTATCTCCCAGTCTTTAAGAAGGAAAATGGGGGGAGGGGGGGGGGGGGGGGGGTTGAGCTGAAATGCTATAGAAAGATTTTCAGAATACCAAGGACAAAGAGGAGAAGAAATACTGACATTGTACAAGATCTGAACATCAAGGAGAATTGGCTAATAAACAGCATCTAGTCTCGAAAGGTAAATTATTTTGTTCATATCAAGCACCATGGTGGATTGGAAAAATTAACAGCAGAAGGCATGGTACCAGGAAGGAGAGGCAGCGGCCGACCATCAAAGATGGGCACAGTATGCAAGTGACTCCTTGAATATGAAAGTGCACTCGGCGGGAGAGATGGTGAGAGACCACGTTTCTTTCAGGCAGACCGTAATAAGAGCAGCGTTCTGCAAAATACCTGCTACATGATGATGATGTTGGCTGCTGAAGGTAAGGATGGAGCTCTTGTGGGAATATTCTGAGTGCTGTGATGTCAGTTCCTAACATTAAACCCTAGACCACTGCATCAAAGGTAATGGGCACTACAAGGGTTTCATCAAGTATCTCTGTCTTCAGGGGGTCGGGGGGAGGGTCTCTGTGGTGAAGTGGTCAAACCGTTTACCTCACGCACTGAGGGTTATGGGTTTATTTCAGGGCGGCACCATTCAGTTTACAAGTGCAGTTTTTATAAAGATCCCTGGCGATCACTGTCGGAGCTACAGAGGTCCTGCTCTGTGTGACGCTCTAGGGAGTCAGCTAGTCTTTCTGAGGAGAGAGACTGAGACATATGGGATAGAAAACCTGGTGCAATGAAGTCGACACTCTCACCTTTGCCATTACCTTTAGCTGTCTCCAGGGATCATGTAAATAGGCTTATAGCTCTTGGTAGTGGAGGGCAGACTCAATTAAAGTCCCTTATTGTCCAAGGAGTATGTTTTATAGACATGTACTACTTTATATTGCTTTTGTAAATTTTCAGGCAATGAGGTGATCTTCTCCCTTGAAACAGCTTCTGACTACGTGAAGGATGAGAAAGCCTCGTTCTTTGGTTTCAAGTGCCTCATTATAGGATATGAATGGGGAGCTAAGCCAGAGGAGGTAATCTACAACAAATAATTGCGTTAGTAATTAAAAATTAGTTTAAAATAAAACAGATGGTATGTTTACAAAAATTATTAAAATGAAATAAAAATATTTCCACTTACCACCATGGCACTCAAGAAAAACTGATTAAAATGTATCCAAAATAAATCACAAATGAATATGAACCACTTAGTAATGTAAGTCAAATATAAACTCAATTAGATATTGTTCCAGAGAATCGTTTGAAAGCATCGTAACCAAGCACTATTATTTGGTAAAGAAAACTGACTACTATAACAATAAGTATCTTCACGCAATACGAAGTTTATCTAAGACTCAATCTGCCTGTAGCTTTACTCCTAAATAATCAGGGGACTAGCACTAAAACTAACTGACACTGAAGACAATCGTCTTTTCACTAATGATTTTGTCTTGTTGATATTACCATGCATTTTGTTTTACTAATGTTTACTTGCATGCGGTTCGCATATCTTCCAGGAAACTAAATTGTTTAATTCCTGTTGTAAAGATGACTAGAATAGCAAATGTTTGAGCACTTGTATAGACTGTACAGACGTCTGCAAATAAGTCACAGGACAATGACAAACATAAAGAAAGATCATTTATATAAATGGCAAATAACAGAGGGCCAAGAATAGAGCCATGGGGTACTCCAGTATTCACCACAGTAATCTGTGACAGAGATTTATTGTATGAAACTACCTGTTTCCTATTTAACAGAAAGGATCTTAATAACTTTAATAGATTACAATTGAAGTTCATTATTTCTAGTTTTATAATAGGGATAGTATGGTCTATCATATCAAAGGCCTTTCTAAAGTCTATAAACACTCAAGATATTTTATCTTTGTTAATATTCTGATGCCAGTTTCTGTCATGTTTGTTAAAGCTGTATGGCACGAATACTTGGGTCAAAATCCTGATTAGTTATCAATGATGTGTGTGTGTGAGAGAGAGAGAGAGAGAGAGAGAGAGAGACAGAGAGAGAGACAGAGAGAGAGACAGAGAGAGAGAGAGTCCTCCTGACACTTCATATTTTGTTTCATAAATATCATCTATGTACACACATTTCATTCTACAGAGCATTTTGATGCTGGAAAGAGAACTGGCCTTCCTTGGTGGCATGTGTTGTTCAGCCCTGATGAAGAGGGACATTCCTCTCCCGTCTGGTAAGAAAAAAACAGATCTATAAATAAGGAATCTTTGTTGGATAGTTCCAGCAGTGGTTAGAGTGCTGGGCTCTTATTTAGGAGATTGAAGTTTGAATCCTTGATCAGGTGGTAGAAACTGTTGAGGGCAGACATTAACCAGCGCAGTTTTTGGCAACTACACTAGCCCTGTATCCTCATTATAAAGGCAGATAGTTTGGGCATCCTCTTAGAAGCAGCAGCACCAGTAATAATTGTAGGTGCCACATCTATTAAGGGCTGATATGAGAGCCAGGTGAAGTGGGATTGTTGTCATTTACTTCTTCACCTCTCAAAAATGTTAGGATATTCTAAATGTTGTTAAAAATAAATGCATTGTTATAAGTGGGAAACCGTATGACCTCATAAAGGGTTGCCTATGAGGAAAGGTTAAGAGGTCAGAGGCCAGCTAGGAAAGATTAAGCACAAGAAGAGACTGTTTCATGAGGAAGTGTGCGTGCATGGGTAAAGGAAGTTTCACGAGAAAGTGTACGTGCATGGGTAAAGGAAGTTTCACGAGAAAATGTATGTACATGGGTAAAGGAAGTTTCACGAGAAAGTGTATGTGCATAGATAAAGGAAGTTTAACGAGAATGTGTATGGGTAAATGAAGTTTCACAAGAAAGTGTACGTGCATGGGTAAATAAAGTTTCACAAGAAAGTGTAGGTGCATGGGTAAATGAAGTTTTACAAGAAAGTGTACATGCATGGGTAAATGAAGTTTCACGAGAAAGTGTATGTGCATGGGTAAATGAAGTTTCATGAGAAAGTGTACGTGCATGAGTAAATGAAGTTTTACGAGAAAGTGTACGTGCATGGTTAAAGGAAGTTAATTGAGAAAGTGTACATGCATGGGTAAATGAAGTTTCAAGAGAAAGTGTGAGTAATCTGGTAATCTGGTGAGTGCATGGGTAAAGGTAGATTCACAAGAAAGTGTGAGTGTATGGGTAAAGGAAGTTTCACGAGAAAGTTTGAGTGCATGGGTAAAGGTAGATTCACAAGAAAGTGTGAGTGCGTGGGTAAAGGAAGTTTCACAAGAAAGTGTGAGTGCATGGGTAAAGGTAGATTCACAAGAAAGTGTGAGTGCGTGGGTAAAGGTAGATTCACAAGAAAGTGTGAGTGCATGGGTAAAGGTAGATTCACAAGAAAGTGTGAGTGCGTGGGTAAAGGTAGATTCACAAGAAAGTGTGATTGCATGGGTAAAGGTAGATTCACAAGAAAGTGTGAGTGCGTGGGTAAAGGTAGATTCACAAGAAAGTGTGAGTGCATGGGTAAAGGTAGATTCACAAGAAAGTGTGAGTGCGTGGGTAAAGGTAGATTCACAAGAAAGTGTGAGTGCGTGGGTAAAGGTAGATTCACAAGAAAGTGTGAGTGCGTGGGTAAAGGTAGATTCACAAGAAAGTGTGAGTGCATGGGTAAAGGAAGTTTTACGAAAAAGTGTGAGTGCATGGGTAAAGGTAGATTCACAAGAAAGTGTGAGTGTATGGGTAAAGGAAGTTTTAAGAAAAAGTGTGAGTGCATGGGTAAAGGAAGTTTCACGAAAAAGTGTGAGTGCATGGGTAAAGGTGGATTCACAAGAAAGTGTGAGTGTATGGGTAAAGGAAGTTTCACGAAAAAGGATGAGTTCATGGGTAAAGGTAGATTCACAAGAAAGTGTGAGTGCATGGGTAAAGGAAGTTTCACGAAAAAGTGTGAGTGCATGGGTAAAGGAAGTTTCACGAGAAAGTGTGAGTGCATGGGTAAAGGTAGATTCACAAGAAAGTGTGAGTGCATGGGTAAAGGAAGTTTCACGAGAAAGTGTGAGTGCATGGGTAAAGGTAGATTCACAAGAAAGTGTGAGTGCATGGGTAAAGGAAGTTTTACGAAAAAGTGTGAGTGCATGGGTAAAGGAAGTTTCACGAGAAAGTGTGAGTGCATGGGTAAAGGTAGATTCACAAGAAAGTGTGAGTGCGTGGGTAAAGGAAGTTTCACGAAAAAGGATGAGTGCATGGGTAAAGGTAGATTCACAAGAAAGTGTGAGTGCATGGGTAGGAAGTTTTACGAAAAAGTGTGAGTGCATGGGTAAAGGAAGTTTCACGAGAAAGTGTGAGTGCATGGGTAAAGGTAGATTCACAAGAAAGTGTGAGTGCATGGGTAAAGGAAGTTTTACAAGAAAGGGAACTGTGGTCGAAAGGGAAAAAAACTGAAGTGAGAACAAGGCAGAGGCATTTGATATGAGACCAGCATAAGAGAAAGTTGTCGGTATGATTGAATACTCAGAGTAAATGAACTTTTGTGTTAGTGGATATCTAGACAGCAGTAATAATCAAGAATTAAAGTCTGCAACGTGTCTGCGGAGTGCTGAGAAAATCTTATAGTGTGCATTCAAGAAAGTATGCATGAGTGTTAACTCGGCTGCGATGGTATGATCAGGGAATGATTCAGGCAATCAACCGACTTTTTAGAAGACAAACTGTCGACCGGGACTGTACTGTACGTATTTAAACTATTCAGATAACAGTTATATGTACATCATGTTGGTGCAGTCTGAATGGCAAGACACAGACTTTGCATGTCTCTGAGAATAGCAATGCAAGAGGATATAAACTTGAAACATTGCACACAGCGTCATTATAGTTCTCCGACTTTCTACCCTGAGGAACTAGAGGAAGAGAAGAAGAAGCAGAAGAAATTTGGAGTCTTGATCAGTTTAAAAAAAAATAAAAAGTCAGGGGTTGAAATCTCTGACTACCAAGCAGTCAGGCAAGCCTAGTAGGTCTGCTAGCTATTGCGGCCTGAAGGTCACTAAAAAGATGGATTTTTCATGAGTCTTTTTTTTTCTTTTTAAAATATGAATTGAAGAAATCATTAAATTCAAAAAGAGCGTGAAATAACTGCTTCCCTTCCCTTTGACTTTGAAAACTTAAAAAAATTTTTTTTTACACATCCACAGAGAACAAAATGATATCATCATAAGTTTATTATGACATTATAACGACAAGAAAAATAATTTTTTTATCCAATTAAGCGCAGCTGCCGCCCTGAACTTTGTAAACAAAAAGACATGATTCAGACACTATGGCTGCCATGGTACAACGGGCAGTTGCCTGTGATTGTTGTTGAATTTGCACTTCACTTTTCAAGGATTCACTTTTTTGCTTCATTTATGTAGTTGTTACTGCACCTGTGAGATACAACGAAATATGCCAGGCAATAAATAGTGCAGTCTATTGTTTATGTCTTCTTTGTTCAAATTTACAACAGGGAAACATTGCTTTGAATATATATATATATATTGTTTCTTTCGTCCTCAGTAACAATGGAGGAAGTTGATGAGGATATGGATATAATAGAAGCTGGGGCCAGAGTTGTGTTTGAGAACCACCAGAGCCTTCTGGAGAAAGGCTTTGCCCTGTCCCACACACCGACCATCTACCAGGCTCTGGAAGGCAATCTGCCCCTATGCTGGCAGTCCAATGAGCACAGCTTCCTGAAGGATTTTGTTCTCTGTACTCCTGGCACTAGTGGTGGACGACTTGCCAGGTTGGACATTTGTATTTTATTTCTCTCCATCAGACATTTAGTTCTCTTCTATCTCTCAAAATTTTGCCTGGACAGCGCCGTTAGGCTACTCTCTTCGATTGAAAGTCTTTCAGGATCCTTGCTGGTGCTACAGAGCCTGTGCACTGTGCTGTGCTTCTTTGGACCTAGAAGAAGAACAACGGAACACTTATGGGTTACACCTGTGTGCCATGATGTTGATCCGTTGTTCAAAACCCCCAAATCTCTCTCTCTCTCTCTCTCTCTCTCTCTCTCTCTCTCTCTCTCTCTCTCTCTCTCTCTCTCTCTCTCTCTCTCTCTCTCTCTCTCTCTCTCTCTCTCTCTCTCTCTCTCTCTCTCTCTCTCTCTCTCTCTCTCTCTCTCTCTCTCTTACTCTCTCTCTCTCTCTCTCTCTCCCTCTCTCCCTCCCTCACTCTCTCTCTCTCCCTCCCTCCCTCCCTCCCTCTCTCCCTCCCTTCCTCTCTCTCTCTCTTTCTCTCTCTCTCTCTCTCTCTCTCTCTCTCTCTCTCTCTCTCTCCCTCTCTCCCTACCTTCCTCTCTCTCTCTCTCCCTCTCTCTCTCTCCCTCTCTCTCTCTCTCTCTCTCCCTCTCTCTCTCTCTCTCTCTCTCTCTCTCTCTCTCTCTCTCTCTCTCTCTCTCTCTCTCTCTCTCTCTCTCTCTCTCTCTCTCTCTCTCTCTCTCAGGAATAAGGTCATGAGAGAACAAGTCAGCACAGAACCAATTCCAAATTACATACAGAGACAGCAAATCAAATGGTTTGCCTACTTAGGGAGAATGCCTTGTGACGCCATTCCGTACAAGGCATACACCAAAACAGAAGGACGTAGATGAGTAGCTAGACCAAAACAAGATGGAAAGATAACATCAGAGAAACTCGACAACAGTGCAGTTTGTCTGTGCTTGACGCAGCCAACAAGAAGCAGGAGCCATATATCTTCCTCTACAACCAAAGCGGTAAAAGACGAATTGAAGCAGAAGAAGATTGTTAATAATATACTTTTGCGGTAATTTATTTTTCTTTTGTAGCTTATCAATGTGTCTTTTGTTTCACACCGCAGGTGGTTGCAGCCGGACTCCTACTTAGACCCCAAACAGTGTGAGATTGAGTGTAACCGAGATGACCTCAAATGCAGCTGGCCAGCCGTGGTGACTGTTTATACCAAGGACCAGTACGGAAGCTTGGTCAATGTGCCAAACCTCAAGGTTGGACTTATTTCTTCTCAGTCTTCTTCCCGTTCACAAGCTGTAAACTCCGTCAGTAAGGTTTAATTGTTCATCCACCTCTGGACTTAAGTCTTGTTTTGGAGCCTGGGTGTTGCCTGCACATCCATTGTACAGATCTAGCTTATTTCTATGCAGACAGACTCCCTAAAGAAATAAAAATAGAATAAAAAAATACATAGGGAAAATTGGACAATGCGGTGAATAGTATAGAGACTATCATAGACAGATAAAAAGAGTAATGAAGATGACAAGAAAGAAACCAGCTCACAAAGAGAACTGATTGACTGCATCAGAAGAAGATAGTTGAGATTCCTCGGTCATGAGGAGGAGGAAAGATGAGTACTTTGTAGCGGTGGTAAAGTTTGAGGACAAAACAGAGGGAGACAGAGAGAGAAGATGCTGGACGGTTTGACATTGTAGCATGGAAGATCATCTGTGTTGGAGTTGATTGAACGTACATGAGACAGAGGGTTGTGGAACACATGACTAAGAACGCCACACGGCATGGACTCTTAACTGAGTCCCAGGGGGTTTAGCATCACAGGCCCAGGGAGTAGTAAAGAAAAAGTACTAAAATCAGAACATCATGCGTTCATTGGGTTTCTAGGTAGGAACGTATGATGCGTTCCTTGGGACTCAAAGAGTTAAGAAGTATAAGGAGGGCATGGAAGTAAGTCAACATGACAAGGACTCGCATGGATATACTGTCTGAGAGGAAATGAAAGAGTGGATTTTCTGGCATGAAACGGGACAGCTACAGGAAGATTCGTACTGGACAAAGGAGACATTCTGGAGAACATTTATGAACGAATACTGATAGAAGACATAAGATCAGATGAAATAACATATGTAGGAATATGTGAATGAGGAATTTGGTGTGGATCAGGCAAGGAGGGACGTATGAGAGAAAGAGAATGATGAGTTTATAATCAGTGTTAGCATCTACACCTTAAGGCATTTACTGCGGAAGACGGAGCACCTGTGGTTGGTCTGGTGTGCTGTGATGTTGATTGTAAAGTCAGTAAAAATAGAATAAGTCTTTGTCAAAGTCATTTTTTCTCCTACATATGAATAAGATTGATTGATTTTCTTTAAAACAGATTGAAGTCAGAGCTGTTCCCATTGACCAGCAAGACATGGGTGATGATCTAAAGAAGATGCGCAGAATGAGCAGCCGTGCTATTGAGGCTTTTGATATGACCTTTGGGGGCCACCCGACCCCGGTGTTGGACACCCCCTATGAGCCAACTCTCAAGGACAAAGACATGTTTCATGCAATCACAATGATGAAGGTAAGTGACTTGCAGGCAGCACCTCCTTTTCCCATCTGTGTTGCTTCCAGGACCCCACTTTTTGGAGGGAAAAACTTCTTCTTTGCAATCACTGGCTGTAAACTCCAGTGGAAAATTCTGGTTGTTCATCCACTTCTGAACTGTAGTCCTGTTCCCGAATCTGAGTGTTGTGTGAACATCCATTTTACAGATCTGACATTAAAATTCATACTGCTGGTTCCTTGCCTCTCAACCAGATGCAGTCCAACTCTGAAGGAAGCTCCAAATTAGTTGACTCTTAGGTCATGCTTTTGGGTCTTTTCTTGTTACCCCACATTGGGGCTCTGGAACCCACATGGGGACAATGGGAATCAAGAAGATTAGGCTTACTGCTACCTAACATGCATGAACTCATCAGGAGTGTTTTAATTAAATGTTTTGGGCCAAAAGGCAGAGATATCACAGCCTAGTTGTAAACCACAACACAGCATGCTAACTACCCTGTTAAGGGCAAACACAAGAAGAAGACTCTCTAGTCTGTTCTCCTGATTTTTATAAATCTTTTCAGTTCAGCGAAATGTAACGCATTATAAATAGTAGTATATCAGTAACAGTACATGTAATTTTTTTATAGCCCAATTGGCACTAGGTGGGTGATGTTGTCCACATCGTGCCGACCACCTTTACTTCCCAGGAATTTACTTGATACCAATTTTTGGCTGGTTTGATCTGGAAACCAAGGTCACTTCTCAAGAAGAAGCAAAAATTCTAATTGAAGCGGATTTGAACCCAAGACCTTCGTTATCGTCAGTAGGCGAGCATTTAGCCACAACACTACTGCGACTGCCGTCCATGATAGTGGAGCCTGCTAAACCATTCACATGAATTGTAATCATATTGTCTCTATCCCTGTGTGTGTTCTAAAGGCCCTTTTGGGTGCAGGAATGAATAGACCAACTGTCCCCTAACAAATATGTTGAACAAGGCTACTAATTCGGGATTTCTGAAATTGGATGTGCTGGGTCTAAAGACATGGATGTCACAGTCTAGCTGTAAACTACAACACAAAGTGCTAACCACTCTTTTAGGGCGAACGAAGAAGCAGAAGAAGACAGTCAGTAGACCAGAGTGTCCCATAAGTTTCTTCCATACTTAGTAATGTTGAATTAGGAATCAACATCATAGCGCTCGGGACATTCCCACAACCGCTCTGTCCCCATCTCCAGCAGAAAGCGAAGAGTTGCAGTTTTAATGGTACCAGTAACTGAGTGTACATTGGTCTCGCCTTTTCCTTGAGTGTTAAGCATCCGCCAGATCCCCTGGTAACTTCCTACAGTGCCATTCTCCTCAGACCATAATTCCCATACATAAAAAAAAAAAAAAATAAACATATCACCAACACTGTTTCAAGCATAACTCCTGCTGTGATTATACGAGTTCTTCAGCAGTGGATGACATCAAAATGTCAGAACAATGATTGTCACGTAGAGCAGTGAGTCCCAAACTGTGCGCCGCGGCATCCTGGGAAGCCGCGACCTCTTCACAGGGGTGCCGTGACCTCTTCACAGGGGTGCCACGATCTTTTCACAGGGGTGCCGTGACCTCTTCACAGGGGTGCTGCGAAATGTTCGAAGATACACGAGTTTTATTTGTTTAAAATCTCTTACATATGAATAGTCATACTTTTACTTAGGTTAGGGCGCCGTGGGAAAATGTTAATTGAAAAAAGGTGCCGCGACTAAGAAAAGTTTAGGAAACACTGACGTAGAGCATATTATATAAATCAAAATGATTTTTATTTTTTTAAGGTCTATTTTTCCTATGTATGGGACACCTCTGTCGGCATCTGTGGTATGCGGGCTTCATAGTGCTGGGTTCGATCCCAGCTGCAGACGATCTGTCTTGCGTTGGTTTCAACAGTGGTACAGAGTGCTGACCATTCAGAAAGCAGTGGCAAACTACTGAACATGAAATTTGCCTTAAAAAAAAAAAGAAACCACAACAGCCAAACAAAATGCTGGGGTTGGTTCTACAACGTCCTGTAAAGGATACACAAATAAATTTATGGGATACTTCTAACACGGGATGTGTCTATTTCGGCAGGCTTATGAAAACTACTCATTTGAAGAGCTGCGCCTGGCCTCCCCGGCCATCCCCCGGCCTAGTGAGAACATGCTTGTGCGGAGTAACAAGGACGGCACCTACACAGCAAACTGGACGCCAGGCTCCGTCGGCTTCTACAACATCGTCATCATCATCGATGGGGTCCAGTCAGGTCAGTGTGGTGGTGTTTATTGTCATTAATGATTCTGCGGATGCTGCTTATCTCAAATTATTATCATTCTTGATAGGTCAAGTTAGATAACCTGAAATTTGTCATATCTTTGATTATCTGGTTTGATAAGTATACCATTTTCGTCCTTGCTAGGTTTAGATTTAAACAAGTCTGAAACTATTATCATTCTTGATAGGTTGAGTTAGATAACCTGAAATTATTCCCATCTTTGATGGATCTGGTTAGATACATCTTACATTATTATCCGCTTTGTTTAACCAGTGAAAATTTTATTTTTTTTAACAGGTGCAGTTATATGATATGAAATAATTATCTTGTTTGATGATCTAGTTAGAATATCATACAACAAGGAAAATGAACAGTTTGTGCGTATACCACGATAATCACATATTTTGTATTTTTGGGGCGGATTTATACTTACTTGATCTCCACCCCTTCGAGGATCTTGACACCTGCTTTTGTTCGGTTATTTGACGCAGTTCGAAATTGAAATGCTTCAGCCGTATTTAATGCTGCAGTGGTTTGAAAAAGAACAAGTGGAAGGTATAGGCCTTACAAGAAGAGGCCAGTAAAAAGGTGGATATATGCTATTCAAAATTAATAATCATGAAATCCATGATTATACTGAAAATTAATCCCTAGATGCCGATCTGTTATCATCTGCAGCATGCTTTGTTCTAAATGCATTGGTGTTACATTTCCTGAGGAGTAAACAAAGTAGTGCATGCCTTCTTAGCGACTCACTGAGCATGCTACAGAAGATCAAGGTGGGGGCATAAAAGTAAACAGTGGCTCCATCTGATACAGCCCGCAGCATTTCTCAAAATCACCTTCATTTCTGTCCCAGGGTATGCTGGTGTGAAAGGCAATGAGAGAGCAGAGGCCCTGGTTGGCAGTGCAGCTATCAGGAATGGGCCATCTATGGACAAGAGAGACATCATCAATGCTATACCAGAGACTAAAGGCTATAAAAAATGATTTTTCACTAATAGACTGCATACCATCTGTGTACAAACTGGAGCAGCGAGAAAAGAAAAACCATACGGGAACCACCGGTTGTTACATCAGCCAGAACAGAATGGGAGTTGTTAGCCAAAACACTTGGAGATATAGTCAGGCGGAGATTGGTGTATTAATGTTCATGTCTGGTGTGCGATGATCTTTAAATGAATAATGAACAAACAAAGCAGGCTGAGAGAGAGACTGTGATGCATGGGCAACACATGGTCTCTATAAAACCTTCCTAGCTTTGTGCTGACAGAGACAGAAAGGTACCAGTCATCATCGATCATGTAATATATTAAGCAGATTAACTGGCAAGACACTGAGGGTTTTTAGCAGGTACTTATGAATGTCATATTCTGTATACTAAGTAGTATTGTGACAGCATCATAGCAGTTGTTGCCCTTTGTTGTCATTATCTCCCTTTCTTGCAGGTGACGGATTCAAGGTTGAAGTGAAGGAACCACCCCAGGGAGCTCCGCCTCCTACTGTTGTCAAGAAAACTCAGCCACCAAGAGTGAGTACTTTTTGTTTTCATTACTTCATATCTTGGTATTAGAGCAGTAGAGTATCGGTCAGAAGGTCTGGGTGTTTGAGGTTGAATTCATCCTAAGGGATATTTTACTGAAATGTGTCCCACAGTTTATAATAGTCTACTTCTCCTCCTTCTCCTTTAGTACTTCTTGTTCTCTTAGCTTTTCCTTTTCACTAGTCATCCCCTTTCGGGATGCAATTTTTTGTTATTTTGAAGCCCCACCCTGGCTCTTGCCAGGGGCTGCAATATAGCCCGGCCATAAATATGGTCTTATGGCGGAGTGCAGTTTCCAGGACCTCTCCATGGGTGATCCTGATCCACATGGTGGCACTTTGTGTCATCGGGTGTTTACAGCTTGTGTGATGTCCTAGTGGGGTAAAATGTACTACTACTAATTCTTGTTCTTTATCCTCATTCCTCTGCTCCTTATTATTCTTCTTCTCCTCATCTTCATATTTTCCTTCTCCGTATTCTTCTTCTTATTCTTTCTTATACAGCAGTAATTTTTGTTTATAATGTTTATTTGCCTTGAACTTATATGTTACAGAGTATGTCTTAGAATACGGTAGGCCAAGAAGAAATGATCCTGTACAAGATCTGAATATAGAAGAAAACTGGATCATAAACGTGTCTCGGTAACTGAAATATTTCGACCATATTAAATGTTACACTGGTTATGAGAGAATCGCAATCAGAGGAAGGAATGGTTCTGGAAGTAAAGGCAGAGTTTGTCCAGCACGAAGATGGATATAGGATATTGGAGACATCGTAGGCAGAAAAGTACATAAGAAATTGGAAAATTGAGGAGAGCAGCATGATAGTAGCTGTATCTTGTATAGGGGCTGTATTTTGTATAGGGCTGTATTTTGTGTATGGGGCTGTATTTTGTGTAGGCGTTGTATTTTGTATAGGGCTGTATTTTGTGTAGGGGCTGTATTTTGTATAGGGCTGTATTTTGTGTAGGGGCTGTATTTTGTGTAGGGGCTGTATTTTGTGTAGGGGCTGTATTTTGTGTAGGGGCTGTATTTTGTGTAGGGGCTGTATTTTGTATAGGGCTGTATTTTGTGTAGGGGCTGTATTTTGTGTAGGGGCTGTATTTTGTATAGGGCTGTATTTTGTGTAGGGGCTGTATTTTGTGTAGGGGTATTTTGTGTAGGGGCTGTATTTTGTATGGGGCTGTATTTTGTATAGGGCTGTATTTTCTATAGGGCTGTATTTTGTGTAGGGGCTGTATTTTGTATAGGGCTGTATTTTGTATAGGGCTGTATTTTGTGTAGGTGCTGTATTTTGTATAGGGCTGTATTTTGTGTAGGGGCTGAATTTTGTGTAGGGGCTGTATTTTGTGTAGGGGCTGTATTTTGTGTAGGCGTTGTATTTTGTGTAGGCGTTGTATTTTGTGTAGGGGTTGTATTTTGTGTAGGCATTGTATTTTGTGTAGGCATTGTATTTTGTGTAGAGGTTGTATTTTGTATAGGGGCTGTATTTTGTATAGGGGCTGTATTTTGTGTAGGGGTTGTATTTTGTGTAGGGGTTGTATTTTGTGTAGGGGTTGTATTTTGTGTAGGGGTTGTATTTTGTGTAGGGGTTGTATTTTGTGTAGGCGTTGTATTTTGTGTAGGGGCTGTATTTTGTATGGGGGCTGTATTTTGTGTAGGCGTATTTTGTGTAGGGGTTGTATTTTGTATGGGGGCTGTATTTTGTATGGGGCTGTATTTTGTATGGGGGCTGTATTTTGTATGGGGGCTGTATTTTGTGTGGGGGCTGTATTTTGTGTAGGGGCTGTATTTTGTGTAGGCGTTGTATTTTGTGTAGGCCTTGTATTTTGTGTAGGGGTTATATTTTGTGTAGGGGCTGTATTTTGTATGGTCGCTGTATTTTGTGTAGGCTTTGTATTTTGTGTAGGAGTTGTATTTTATATAGGGGCTGTATTTTGTGTAGGGGCTGTATTTTGTGTAGGGGCTGTATTTTGTTTAGGGGCTGTATTTTGTGTAGGGGCTGTATTTTGTGTAGGCTTTGTATTTTGTGTAGGGGCTGTATTTTGTGTAGGCATTGTATTTTGTGTAGGCATTGTATTTTGTGTAGAGGTTGTATTTTGTGTAGGGGTTGTATTTTGTGTAGGGGTTGTATTTTGTGTAAGCGTTGTATTTTGTGTAGGGGCTGTATTTTGTATGGGGGCTGTATTTTGTATAAGGGTTGTATTTTGTATAAGGGTTGTATTTTGTGTAGGCGTTGTATTTTATATGGGGGCTGTATTTTGTGTAGGGGCTGTATTTTGTGTAGGGGCTATATTTTGTGTAGGGGCTATATTTTGTGTAGGGGCTGTATTTTGTAGAGGGGCTGTATTTTGTAGAGGGGCTGTATTTTGGACAGGAGTCTTATTTTGGATAGGAGCCGCTTCATGAGGATTGTGATTTGTGTTAGGTTGTGTGTTTGTGTGTTCTTCTTCTTGTTGTAATTTTCTGGTAGACTTAAAAATAATCTTATGTAATTGATCGTAGCTGCGCAAGTTTGTTGCCAAGTACAGCGCCGGGTTGAGGATTCGAATCAGCCCAACTCTTCAGAGTGAGCAGATTGGAGTAGTACCTCCGAACTGTGTTATCTCATTTGTGGATGAGGTAAGTCTTTGTTGTTATTCTTGTTGTTATCACATGGTCCCCGTAAATTCTGAAGCATCACCATGTCTGCAGCGACATGTTCTCGAAAAGTGTAATTAAATGCCAGTGGTTCTGTGTGCATCTGTATATTGTTTAGGAGGCCTGGTTGTGATTATATTAGCTTAATATAAAATGTAGAGGGGTTTCCTTGTGAATCCAACAGCTTTTGTTTTTACAGCCAGTGAGAATTAAAATGTTTCCCCTAAGTCTCAGTGATTGGGGTCATGGATGATTCACCTCATATTTGTTTTAGGCCGCCTGGGAATGCATTCCATTTAGTGCTTCACTGTGTTTTTGTTTATTGATTATTCCCGTTATGTATCTGTTTATATTTGGAAAGAAATATTTTTAAAAATTTCCATAAATACATTTGTAAATTTAGTAGTTGCGTGTATAAAATAGTGGTTTTTATGGATTTTTTCCCCGGAAATTCCCACAGGTTCATGACCCATTTTTTTAAAAAAAGTATTCGCTGGACAAAAGAGTTCTTCTTCTTTTCTTCATTCGTTTGCTCCAAATGGATTATCTATGTCTGCAATGTTGTCTCTAGTATGAATTTCACTGTCTTTTGTAATTCACTCAGCGACCCGTAAAGTTTGACTTGCACTGATGTTTCTCTTTGGCCAAACTTGTGGCCTTATTAGTTAAATCACTGTTTAACAAGAATATAAATACTCTGTGCATCTGGTTTGTGTTTGGCCACATTTTTCAGTGTATTTTATCTTGTCTAACATATATTATTGGTAATGCTACATTACATAAACTTATTCCAGTTGGGCATCTCCTGGCCATTCGTAAAAAGATAATAAAACAAATTATAAATGCAATCTCTCTTTTTCCAACCTGAGGTTACTAGTATCAGACTTGGACATTGACCAGAAGACACAAGAGAAAAACTAACCACCTGTGAAACGAAATGTTTGAAAAAAGCAGGTTGTGTTAGAAATAAAGAGATAGAAATTGTTTCGGCCACCTGGTGAAAATTAACCTAGAAATGCAGACAGCTTGACTGTACAACCTGATCACAACAAGATACCGAGGGAGATCTAGAAGAAGATGGATTTAAGGAGTCACTGAGAGCCTAAAACTTGATGACGTCATCAGATACTGATGAAATGTTGAACTGTGATGCTTTACGAATCAAAATTCTCGGCAGAACTTGGGAATGTCATTTGAGTGGTCTGGATGGTACAGTGATGGAGGGTGCTGTTTCCGTAAAATGAGGCAGAGGCTGACCTCTGTGAAGATGGATACAGGACATTAAAGATGCATTGGCTGTGAAAGCTCACAGGGCTGGAGCATTGGCTAGAGAAAGAGAGACTTACAGGCCTGCCGTGAAAAGAGCGACGTTCTGTAAAGGAGGTCTGTCACAGAAATATCTATAACACATCTGGGGAGTAGAAACTCTGAGTCGTGTGTGACGCAGGAAGAGGGTACTGGACGGGAAGAAAAGTAGGACTGCTGGGTGACTGCAAAGGTTGTAAGTCAGAATTGTTGGATAAGTCTGTGTTGGACATTATGGCCCTTAGATGAGAGAATGCCTGCTAGACAGCTAACTCTTTCAATCCCAAGCAGTGCTACCTGTCTGAATGAATGTATCCCTTCATAGCCAAATATGCTTTCTTACTTTATGACACCTTTCACCATTTGGTGAGATGCCTTTCACCATTTGGTGAGACGCCTTTCACCATTTGGTGAGGCACCGTGAGGTATTCCAGGAGTAGAGAAAAGAAGGTGGTCATAACATGCTTGAGAAATCTGGCTTCCACTGTTGGTCAGTACAACTATTTATATTGCTGTTTTGAAATTAAAGCATTCATGATTTGGCATCATGATTATTTTGTCCCTTTGGTATCTCCTATGAAACTCTGTGGTACTGAAAGAGACAGATGGTTCTGAAGATGCTTGTGGACTGTTTTGGAATGGCTCCACTTGATGACTGTAACCTCCATGTTAAAGACACCTTGATGACCTCAGTGTTGAAGACACCTTGATGACCTCAGTGTTGAAGAGACCTTGATGACCTCAATGTTGAAGAGACCTTGATGACCTCAGTGTTGAAGAGACCTTGATGACCTCAGTGTTGAAGAGACCTTGATGACCTCAGTGTTGAAGAGACCTTGATGACCTCAGTGTTGAAGAGACCTTGATGACCTCGGTGTTGAAGAGACCTTGATGACCTCAGTGTTGAAGAGACCTTGATGAGCTCAATGTTGAAGAGACCTTGATGAGCTCAATGTTGAAGAGACCTTGATGACCTCAATGTTGAGACCTTGATGACCTCAATGTTGAAGAGACCTTGATGACCTCGGTGTTGAAGAGACCTTGATGACCTCAGTGTTGAAGAGACCTTGATGAGCTCAATGTTGAAGAGACCTTGATGACCTCAATGTTGAGACCTTGATGAGCTCAACAGAGAATTTCAGTGCCATTGTTTTCCTTCTACAGACCACCAATGATGATGGCTTGTGGCTGAGGCTGTCCAGGTTCTCGCTGGCCGAGTACTGCTCTCCTGATGAAGCTGGCGTCAGCAGGACAGAAGGCTGGTGCCTCCAGTACAACCAGCACCTAGGAAAAACGCTTCTGGTGCCGGTAGAAACTGCCAAGCCGCAGCCGAGCCACCGCAGTCCTCGGCCTCTTCCTGCTGGAGCAGCAGCCGCTGGGGCTGAGGTTGTCAGAAGAGAGAGGAGAAATGTTGGGCACCCAGCTGGGGCCTTGTTTATGGGGCCCCCAGTAATCAGCAAAGGTGAGTTAAAAAAAAAATTTTTTTTTGTGTCATCCCCTACCTCCATATCTCCCCCCCCCCTCTCTCTCTCTCTCTCTCTCTCTCTCTCTCTCTCTCTCTCTCTCTTTCTTTCTCTCTCTCTCTCTCTCTTTCTCTCTCTCTCTCTCTCTTTCTCTCACACTCTGTCTCTATATGTTTTCAAATACCTTACTTTTATTCTGTCTTCTAAGTCACTTATTCCTTCCTTCCCTCTTTCCCCCCTCTCTGCCTCCTCTTATCTCCCTTTCTCTTTCTCTCGCTCTTCCCCTCACTGATCTCTTCCCTCTTCTGCCTTTTCCACCAAATCAAAGTGAATAATAATTTGCCATAGTTTGCCATCGCTCCCTGAACGGTTGATACACATACCTCTGTCAAAATCAACACAAAGCAGACTGCTGCCACAGCTGAATTCAGTATGGTATTTTGAAAATATGAAACTGCATTCCCAACCTGTCAGCTGTAGATAAATTAATGATTGTGTTTGAAAACTGTACACAGGGCCGGGGACCTACAAAGTGATCAAATGTGGAGCTTCTGGTCACAACATCAGGGCCAGACCTAGCCTGAGAGCACCTCCTATAGGAATGATTACCAAAGGCAAGAAGATCAAAGCCGTGGAAGATGTAAGTATATTTAGATTTTGACATTCATTAGTGCCCCAACCTTTAGCAGTTTCCATCAGGTCATTATCACATTGGGAAGAGAATGTAAAGAGGGATGTGCTGGTATGGCAGGAGTAGAGGTACAACAACTGATAGATGCAAACACTGGGCTAGATGTCGAATTCAATGGCTGGACCACATGGTTGGGGGCCAGACAAGAACCCGTGCCTAATCCATCATTCTGGTGATCGTGTGGGATTGTGAAACATGACAGCCTACCCTTACCAGTACCGCACATGATGTTTCAAAGTTGGTGGCTAGCAGTTTTGACATTGAGTGCATGTGTACTGTAATCAGCTATATACTGAGTTTTTTTTTTTTTTTTTTTTTTTTCAGTTTAATTATTTTAAAACAAAAGTACAGGTAGTAGATACTCTTTCATTTCTGTATATTTCCTTGAATATACATGAGGTTAGTCCTTTACAGGACGTTGCAGAACCAACCCCCAACAGCCCCTGGCTGTTGTGTGGTTTTTCTAGGCAAATTTACGTCCAATAGTTTGCCATTGCTTCCAAAGATTGGAACATCTAAAGTTTAAAAACTTACAATATAGGTTATGGATGTCCAATATGGCTGCCATCTGCTGCTCGGCAAACATCTAAGCGGTAGCCCAACTCATCCCACACTAGGAACTGAACTGAAGAGTTCTTGGTGGTATAAGCATGCGCAGTCAAGTGGTTGGTTACACAGCTGTGCTGTAGCAGTTGTATTGGAAACTTTAGACCTTCCCCTTTCTCTTGTATGTATATTATTCATAATCAGTGTATATTCAAGGGAATACATGTGAGTGAATGTTTGTCCATCATTGTGAATCACTGTATTTTAACACTAAAAAAAATATTTAAAAAAAAGCAAAAAGCAAAGGTCTTCTTTGTTCTCCTGAGCAGTTTGTACATCTACCGTTCCTATTTTTATTCAAATTTCTTTAAACGTTCAGTGGGGAAGGTGGGGACGTAGAGGTATTGCTTTTTATTTGGGGGTGGGTTGAAAACCACGGATTTAGTTAATCATAAATCACAACACTGCCGCTCTTATCTCACAGACTATCAACAGTGAAGGCTTGTGGATTCGACTGTCGGATGAGTCCGCCCACAAGTACTGCCACCCATCGCTGGCCTCCGAAGCCTGGTCACTGGTCACAGGCATGGACAAGGTCCAGTACATGCAGCATGAGTCCGAGTTCCCATTTAGCAGTCAGGAGCAGGACCCCTTTGCTTTCAGAAGCCTGCCTCCGCAGTCGCAGCAAGGCTTCCAGTTTGCCATGAAAGCAGCACAGTATGCAAATGCATTTCCAGATTTTTTCCCATCTGAAGAAGGTGCGTAGAGTGATTATTTATATTTTTCTTTTTCATAGTTTTTAAAATGTTTCTTCATAAGCATGCTCTGTGCTTGATACATCTTCAAGTGGCAACGGAAAGAGTGGGAGGAGAATTTTAACTCTTCGCTTGCTGCTGAAGATTGGGATGGAACACTTATGGGGGTGTTCCGAGTGCTGTGATGTAGATTCTTAATTCAAGATTCTTAAAGACCCAACAATGTCACTTGTCAGTTAATGGGAAAATGGCCATAAGGAAAGTTTTTGACCGAAATGGTTTGACCGTTTAGTGAGAATGAATCAAGTGATGCCAACAGCGAGGGTGTACAAGATGAGAGTAGAAACACCAAGAGATGGGGGAATGACCAAAAAAAAAAAAACGTGGATTGAAGAGTTACTGATATCTTGAGACTCCACAACATCACAGCCTACCAGGTAACAGAGCATGCCCTAGCTCGGAAACCAATCACCTGTTGACCTGTGATGTCTAGCTGCACAAAGCAGACAATTGACTAAAGAATAAAAAAGAATTCTTAAAGACTGTTGTGTTTTTTTCCCCCCTCAGCTTGGTGCATGGAGCAAGCTAGGTGCCAGAAATTGAACTATACTACAGACCTTCTTATTTTAGAAGAACCCGTATTTTTAATGGTTGTACAGAACTGTTAATAATTTATAAATATGACATTTGTAAAAAGGATTGGATTCTAAAGTGACTCTTTTTAACTATAGATTTGGGTGGGTGGGGGTGGGGGGGTGGGGGGGGGTGTGTGTGTGTGTGTGTGAATGATATCATCAGATGTGGCGGACCATCATAGAAAGACTGTTGTTATGGGAGGTACCATCTCATTGTCATGTGAAGGAAGGTGTGATGATGAGTCATCTGGGGGCAAACTAAGCCAGCCACTTTGTCTTTTGTCTCTGAGTTCCTTATGGATCGTTGCTGAAGATTTTGAGTTCATGCTTTTAGTGACCCTCTCAAACTGCTTATCAATAAAGATCAAGCCAGGTCAGATAAGGACCCACTCTAGCAGCAACCCTCTTAACTTTTTGTTGTACATCTGGAGCAAAATAGAGGGGTAGGCCCGTGCTAAAAAAACATGTTGGCTAGACCTATAAAATAAATTTAATTTAGGTTAATTTCTTTTATTTCACCCCGTCTCGGGGTCTCTGAGATTTCATGGGGAATTCCCGGGACAGTATAGGGGTGTTAGGTTTAGGATTATTGTTATTAGATGTTCATTGCACATGAACTAACGGAAGTAACACCCACTGAAATGATGAAGCACTAATTGCTGAAAGCAGCCAGCACGGCGGATTCACACATAAAAGAAATTTAGTTGTGCAGTCGTTCACACAAAAGAAAGTTGTGCACTTTCATGAGGAAGACAGTTTGTCGACCTGGTGCACACACTTTCTCGCACACTGTATGAACACCGAAGTCATGTCATTACACCCCTAGAATATTGGACTTTCCCAGGATCTCCCCAGAAAATTCCTAGGAAATGTCGGAGCTCCTAGGATTGGTAATGTAAAATAAAAGTGGGGCTGTAAAGATACCATGTTTGCATTTTCACATGGCATGCCTGAATCGATGTCAAGGTCAAAGCATGCCTGAATCCATGTCAAGGTCAAAGCAAAGGATCCTTCTTATGTCCGTGATGTGTTGGGCAAATGATACTAGATAGAGAATAATCTTTTGTCCGGTTCCTGCTGACTTTGTTAGCCCACCAACCAGCTTTTCCTCCTCTATTGATTCGTGCCTATTTTTATAGGCCAAGCAGTACTCGGTTGCTGTTTTAGTCAGCAGCATGCCGGACACCTTTACTTCCTAGGACATAAGCTGGTAACCATTTTTTTTTTGGCTGCGTCGGTCAACCCAAGATTTTTACAAAACTGCCTCAGTGAGGATTCAAACCCAACCTTCATGCGGCTAAGTGAGCATCTAGCCACTATGCTTACCTTCTTCTTCTTCTTCACGTTCACCAGCTGTAAACTCTGGCGGAAGGTTCTGGTTGCTCGTCCACTACTGAACTGCAGTCCTGCTCCAGAACCTGAGTGTTGCGTGTGCATCAGTTTTACAGATCTCATTCTCTTGAATACAGACTGTTGGTTCCTTGCCTCTCCGGCAGATGCACTCCGACTTCAAAGGAAGCTTCCCAATTAGTCGACTCTTACGACATGCTTTTGGGGAGGCAGTGGGTCTATTCTTGTTTTCCCCACAATGGGGCCCCGGAACCCACACGGGGGACTATACGGGGGACTATGCTTACCATATCAGGAAGTGAATGTGTTTATTTATTTATCTAATCACCTCAACAGTTTCTTTGTTGTTATTCCAGCATTTTCAAGGAGTAAAAGCATGCCTTCGTCTGCTTTCAACTTTGGTGGAATCACAGGTAGGTGCATGTTTATTCTTACATTGCCGTTCTTGAAGTACATGTATTTCTTATTGTTCTTTTCACATTTATGTAGTAGGGAATTATATAAATAAACTTACTTGAGGTGACTGAGGAGAATGTGTGTGAGAGATACCTCTGGGAGACATATGCCTGTAAGAGACACTCTTGTTAGAGATAACTTTGTGAGATACACTTATGAGAAGTACCTTGTAAAGTCTCTGATGCACTTTTTACAGCAGAACATCTGGGACGAAGGTGAGAGGGAGATTAAGAAAGAGATGAATAAATGGTCTAGCAGCCTGCAAAAAACTAAACAAATCCATCACCCAGGCACCCAAGAAGCACAAGACAAATAGAGAAAACCACAACACTGGGCTACAACCTATTATCACGGAGGTGACAAAAGACGAAGAAGAAACCTCTCACATCGGTGTACTTCACAAGAATATCTTTCACATGTGTGTACTTCACACAGATTTCTCTCACATTGGTGTACTTCACTAGAGTATCTCTCACATGGGTACACTTCACAAGTATATATATCTCACATGGGTGTACTTCACTAGAGTATCTCTCACAAAGGTATACTTCACAGGGATATCTCTCACATGGGTGTACTTTACTAGAGTATCTCTCACATGGGTACACTTCACAAGTATATATCTCACATGGGTGTACTTCACTAGAGTATCTCTCACATGGGTACACTTCACAAGTATATATCTCACATGGGTGTACTTCACTAGAGTATCTCTCACATGGGTGCACTTCACTAGAGTATCTCTCACATGGGTGCACTTCACTAGAGTATCCCTCTCATGGGTTCTACTTTACAAGGATATCTTGCATGAGTGTACTTCACAGGAATATCTCTTACATGGGTGTACTTAACAGGGATATCTCTCACATGGGTGTACTTCACTAGAGTATCTCTCACATGGGTGTACTTCACTAGAGTATCTCTCACATGGGTGCACTTCACTAGAGTATCTCTCACATGGGAGCACTTCACTAGAGTATCCCTCTCATGGGTTCTACTTTACAAGGATATCTCGCATGAGTATACTTCACAGGAATATCTCTTACATGGGTGTACTTAACAGGGATATCTCTCACATGGGTGTACTTCACTAGAGTATCTCTCACATGGGTACACTTCACAAGTATATATCTCACATGGATGTACTTCACTAGAGTATCTCTCACATGGGTGCACTTCACTAGAGTATCTCTCACATGGGTGCACTTCACTAGAGTATTCCTCTCATGGGTTCTACTTTACAAGGATATCTCGCATGAGTGTACTTTACAGGAATATCTCTTACATGGGTGTACTTAAGAGGGATATCTCTCACATGGGTGTACTTCACTAGAGTATCTCTCACATGGGTACACTTCACAATTATATATCTCACATGGATGTACTTCACTAGAGTATCTCTCACATGGGTGTACTTCACTAGAGTATCTCTCACATGGGGGAACTTCACTAGAGTATCTCTCACATGGGTTTACTTTACTAGAGTATCTCTCACATGGGGGAACTTTACTAGAGTATCTCTCACATGGGTTGTACTTCACTAGAGTATCTCTCACATGGGGGTATTTCACTAGAGTATCTCTCACATGGGTTGTACTTCACTAGAGTATCTCTCACATGGGTGTACTTCACTAGAGTATCTCTGAGATGGGTGTACTTCACTAAAGTATCTCTCACATGGGTTGTACTTCACTAGAGTATCTCTCACATGGGGGAACTTTACTAGAGTATCTCTCACATGGGTTGTACTTCACTAGAGTATCTCTCACATGGGGGTATTTCACTAGAGTATCTCTCACATGGGTGTACTTCACTAGAGTATCTCTCACATGGGTTGTACTTCACTAGAGTATCTCTCACATGGGTTGTACTTCACTAGAGTATCTCTCACATGGGTTGTACTTCACTAGAGTATCTCTCACATGGGTTGTACTTCACTAGAGTATCTCTCACATGGGTTGTACTTCACTAGAGTATCTCTCACATGGGTTGTACTTCACTAGAGTATCTCTCACATGGGTTGTACTTCACTAGAGTATCTCTCACATGGGTTGTACTTCACTAGAGTATCTCTCACATGGGTACACTTCACAATTATATATCTCACATGGATGTACTTCACTAGAGTATATCTCACATGGGTGTACTTCACTAGAGTATCTCTCACATGGGGGAACTTCACTAGAGTATCTCTCACATGGGTTTACTTTACTAGAGTATCTCTCACATGGGGGAACTTTACTAGAGTATCTTTCACATGGGTTGTACTTCACTAGAGTATCTCTCACATGGGGGTATTTCACTAGAGTATCTCTCACATGGGTTGTACTTCACTAGAGTATCTCTCACATGGGTGTACTTCACTAGAGTATCTCTGAGATGGGTGTACTTCACTAGAGTATCTCTCACATGGGTTGTACTTCACTAGAGTATCTCTCACATGGGTTGTACTTCACTAGAGTATCTCTCACATGGGTTGTACTTCACTAGAGTATCTCTCACATGGGTTGTACTTCACTAGAGTATCTCTCACATGGGTTGTACTTCACTAGAGTATCTCTCACATGGGTTGTACTTCACTAGAGTATCTCTCACATGGGTTGTACTTCACTAGAGTATCTCTCACATGGGTTGTACTTCACTAGAGTATCTCTCACATGGATGTACTTCACTAGAGTATCTTTCACATGGGTGTACTTCACTAGAGTATCTCTCACATGGGTGTACTTGACAGGGATATCTCTCACATGGGTGTACTTCTCTAGAGTATCTCTCACATGGTTGTACTTCACTAGAGTATCTCTCACATGGGTGTACTTCACTAGAGTATCTCTCACATGGGTGTACTTGACAGGGATATCTCTCACATGGATATACTTCACTAGAGTATCTCTCACTTAGGTGTGCTTCACAGGGATATCTCTCACACAGGTGTGCTTCACAGGGATATCTCTCACATAGGTGTACTTCACAGGGATATCTCTCACATAGGTGTACTTCACAGGGATATCTCTCACATAGGTATACTTCACACTGATATCTCTCACATGGGTGTTCTTCACAAGGATATCTTTCACATGGGTGAGAGTCACTCATCTAAAATGCACCTATGTAATAAATTCCTTTGTCAAAGATGACCTAGTAAAGTACATCATTGTAAGAGAAACTTTTCTGAGAGACAATCTTATGACAGAAATATCTGGTGAAGGTACGGTATGCTTACTTTGAAGGTACACCTACTTGAGAGTTAGCCTAGGGAGAGAAATCCTTATCGGATTTAATCTGGTTTTTTTTCTCCCCACAGGATTCCAGCCTAAATTGCCACTTCCACGGTTTGGAGAGCCAGTGACGGAAGAGGATCCTGTAGAGAGTTTCCCTCCTCCTCCGCCCCCTCTCAGTGTCACTAACTACAATGAATTTGATAATGAGGATGAGGATGAAAGCGTGGAGGAAGTCATGCTTGATCGGCTGCTGAGGTCACGGCAGAGGTAAAAATATGTGTGCCACAGAGGTGTATTTTGTGTTTTGTCTAAGCATACTGGGGAGCCAGATAGAATAGTTGCCAGATAGAATATATTTCTTTTGGATATTCAGTCAAGCATAAAGAATATATGAACATGCAGAGCAGTTTTGGGTAAATAAGGACAGCAGCTGCTTACAACAAGTACATTTCTTATGACTGAGAAGGAGCTAACTTTCCCCATCCCTGATTTAACATTGCAGATCAGGATCAAGCCCCAACCCATTCATGTCAGTGCCACCGATACCGGCCCACCAAGTTGCCAGCCACCAGAGAACATTTTCTCTGCGTAAAGTGTCTGACCCTGGAGTGGCGCGACTGACCCTCCAGGACAACAAGGACATTCCTCCGGAGCTTCAGGGCGTCCCAGTCAATGAACTTGTAAAAGCTTTAGGTGAGTGAGTGAGTGTCTGTGTCATTGTTGGTTTTGTCTTCTTCTTTTCCTCCTCCGTTGTTTTTTTTTCCCCACTCCTAAAAGGGTAATTGGCTCTTTGTGGTTAACAGCTAGACTATGATATCTGCAACTTTCAGACAGTCACACATCCAGTAAAATTTCTCAGAACAATGTTGCCAGTACTATGGACACCTAGTGTAGCTAACAGTTGCCTGGGAAAATGCTGGTATATCAAAAAACAAAACCTTACAGAACAAACACCCACAAGAAAAAGAAAACAAATTAAGATTTGGCAGAAGGAAGTTGACTCTTTGCGATGGATCAAAGACCATATCAAGCATCACGACAGATTTGAAAGAATAGTGGCAGAGGTCGTGGTACCAGGACCATGGGCCAGTCATCTAGAGGTAACAGTTTGGGTAGGAGGGTGCACAGGGTGGGATTGCTGGCTAGAGCCGAACTTCTTTTAAACTTCTTTCATGCAGGTGTAAAAATCTTCACATGCAGAATTCAGGGCAACTGCGCTAGCCATGGGGCCTTAAATCCTTAGGTTCACGACCCCTATCCTACATCACTAAGTGGTAAATACGTGCAGTAAGGACAGTTTTGTTTTGTAACACAGAAGATCACTACATCTGGCTTCAGTACTTTCAGAGGCGACTGGAGGGAGATGAGTAAAAGATAAATGATATAGTTAACTGTAGAGTAGATGAGCCTGCAAGTAGATCTCTTACTGCAGAAAATGTTAGGATATTTATCTTACACCGAATATTGATACTTCCATTATGGCACACATGTGACCGTGATTGGATTTCTTGTAAATTTGATTTTTGGGTTATCATTATTGTTATTGCAAGTGCTGTCTGATTTGTAATGGTAGATGCCCATTGTGAGATAGAGACTCACGGTCAGTATGGTAGATAGGCAGGCTTGAGTGAATGTTTTTAGTTGTGGCAAATTTGTGCTTCTGACAGTAGTTAGCCATTGCATTTTCCTCCATATGAAAACAGAAATGATATAGTTTTATCGCCCAGCTACTGAGTTGAGTGCATGGTGCTGTACTGTGAGCTGTGGATTTCATTTGGAATGCTTTTCGACTGTGCCCAGAATGGTTTGTTTCATGTACTGCAGATTAAGAAAATGGCAAGTGTCATGTTGCTGAAGAACTGGTAGTGCTTTGTGTTTAGGTTTAGGTTCAGACGACCAATCAACATCATGACACAAGGGTAGTAACCTATAAGTGCTCCATTCTACTTCTGACTCAAGCCAGAGTCCAAACAATCTCAGCTCAGTGCACGAACTCCATAGCACCAGCTGGGATCCTAAAATATATTGGGTAGATTTTGAACTCCAAATTTTGCCCGGGCAGAGCCCTTAGCCTACTCTTGTTCGATTTCCAACTGCCAAGGGATTTTTTACATGCACAACAATACACATGGCGTCTGATCTTACTACCCAGAGACAAGGGGAAATTACTAGAAGTCCAGGTGAAAAAATCCCAGCGTTCACCAGGGCTTGAACTTGAGACCTCCAGCACTCGAGACCGAGGCCATGCCTCGAGACCACGCAGCCGTGTGTGATTAATTGCATGTGCGACTACTGTCCAGTTGTAAGTGCTGCTTCCATTGACGATGAACTGCATTTCTTGTGCCAGACTGTTGGTGTTGGTTCTCCTGGTGGCTGATTTATGTATTTAATGCCTGTGTATGCAATCGGCTTTGCTGAGACTACGGTCTGTGTCAATTTTATACAAGGATCAGTGATGATGGAAGTTCTTTATGGTCTTTGTTGGCACAGCAATGGAGCAGATATGGGGTGATCTAATTGCTATGAACCTGAAATTGTGGTTACCACAAATAAAAGAATTAAAACTGAAACTTTCAAAAGAAGCCCCACCCTGGTTTCTGCCGGGGGCCTTGAATATAGCCCGGGCATAGATATGGCCCAACGGCTGAAAGGGGTTTCTGGCACTTCTCCACGGGTGATCCTTATCCGCATGGTAGCACTTTGTGTCACCGGGTGTGATGTCCTGGTGAGGTCCTGAGTGATGTCCTGGTGAGGTACAACTTTACCAACCAACCAACTCTAGAAATGTACTAATATTTGCATGTTTTTGTTTGCTTACATTTTTTGCTTTCTGACATTCTCTTGGATTCTGGTGGGTATGTTTGGTGGTATATGTCCTGGTGTAAAACTACCTGGCCTTGATGTATGTTGTCATCGCTTTGTTCTTGTTTCCCGTCATTATAAAAATAAAAAATAAAAAATTGCATATGTAGACCATGCTAAAGTGAACAAACTGGCCAATCGCTCAGCTTACATTTACTGTGACGACGATGTTGTGGCCTGCCCCACGTTCACTGCTCTAGGGCTGAAACTGTGCTACCCGGCAATCAATCCTAGAAAGTTAGCCCGGCTTGTAGGTGAGCATTCATCCAGCCGGTGGTTAGTCGGAGACGTCGCCTGCTTGGTCGTCACTTGCCTGATCATCGTCACATTTCTGACACCTCAGCATTGCATGATCCATATCTCCTACCTCCAACATCCCTCTCTCTCTCCAGCATCTCCGTTATCCAAATCCCATATCTATGACATCTGTAGTATCCAGCATCTCTTATCCGTATCCCATACTTTCAAAATCTGGAGTATTCAATATCTAAGTTATTTATATCCCATGCCTCCAGCATCTGTAATATCCAGCATCTCCATTATCCATGTCCCATACCAGTAACATTTGTAATATCCAGCATCTTCATTATCAGTATCCTATACCTTTGACATCTGTAATATCTAGCATCTATAATATCCATATTCCTTACCTCCAACATCTGTAATATCTAGCATCTCCATTATCCATATCCATATCTCCACCTTTAATATTCAGCATCTCCATTATCCGTATCCATACCTCCGTCTGTAAAATCCAGCTTCTCCTTTATCCATATCGTATGCCTCTAGCATCTGTAATATTTAGCATCTCCATTTTCCATATCCCATACCTCCAACATCTGTAATATCCAGCACCTCTATTATCCATATCCCATACTTCCATCATCTGTAATATCCAGCAACTCCATTATCCATATACCATACCGCCAAAATCTGTAATATCCAGCAACTCCATTATCCATATCCCATACCTCCATCATCTGTAATATCCAGCAACTCCTGTATCCATATCCCATACCTCCATCATCTGTAATGTCCAGCAAGTACTCTGTTGAGGGTGAACAGAGAAGAAGTATCTGACAGCTTTAAATCAATCTTGTATCTATACCCTGCATTTCTATAACCCATATCCAATATTCTGATATCATTACCCAGCAGTCTAGCACACATCATATCCATATCTTAGGCCATGTATGTCCATATTTGATAAACACCTTCTCCTCGACTTGCGACCATCCGCACTTACAACCACAATAAAAAAATAAAACTGGTAAATTAAGAAAGATAACTGCATTAGTAGGGTACAATAATTTCTGTAACTGATGCTGAGAATATTTTGTTTACAGTAATTATACACATATAGATTGATTTTCTGTGTGTTTTATATACAATTTGTGTGACCTATTTGAATAAAAATAGTGTTGAAAAATATAAATTCAGTTCAGGACCAGTTTGACTTAGGAACTGTTAGTCAGAACAGAAGAGATTTCACTCATTAGTCGAGTAGACCCTGAATAGGATATCTGTATACAACATGGGTAGTGTCATCCGAGTATCCACCGCAAGCAGCCTCAATATCCATATCCACTCCTAAATCTCTCCTTCTTTCTCTCCAGGTTTCTTCCCCCCATCTTGTCAGTGCTAACCAGTGTCTGTAAATAGAGGTGGCTGATTTCTGTGGTAGCTGCGGTGTTTCCGAAACATTTTTGTTATTGCTGTTGTCACTTGTATGATTATTTTGTTTCTTATTCTAATATTGTAGCATGCATCATGCAGTTTCTGATTTTGTGTGTGTGTGTGTGCGCGCGTGTGTGTGTGCGTGCGTGCGCGCGCGCGAGCGAGTGTCATTTGCAGTCTCTCTCTCTCTCTCTCTCTGTCTCTCTCTCTCTCTGTCTCTCTCTCTCTCTCTCTCTCTCTCTCTCTCTCTCTCTCTCTCTCTCTCTCTCTCTCTCTCTCTCTCTCTCTCTCTCTCTCTCTCTCTCTCTGTTAATGGATAGGTCTGTGCCTGCACACATGTACATTGTGTGTCACTGGTCTACTGGGTTGAGTGCATGGTGTGACACTGTGAGCTGTGGATTTCATTTAGAATCATTTACTTCTTTAAGTTCATCAGAGTGGCATAATTGCAAAATTTGGGACTTTTGGCTGATGCATCTGACTTAATCAGGAATTGGTTCACTCCATTTGCTTTGCCATCACCTATTCTAAGTTGATCAATACTTGAGAGGAAATATTTGAATGTCCGGATTAGAGGAGAAGAGGACTGGTAGAAGGAAAGTCAGAATGTGTGACTGGGTGCTTCAGAGAATACACCAACCCAAAGTCAGATATGATTTAAGGGGCGTTTACATGCCAACACAGATGTGTTATGTTCACATAATGCTAGGTTGATGATTTGAAACAAAATATGTGAATGTTTTATGTTACTGTACGCTTGCCACTTGGTCGTCCAGGTAAGCTGACTGCTCTAATTATGCTACCGCGATGACTTCATATCTCACAGTGCCTTGTACAAAGTCACCAATTCGTCTTGTCCCTGTCCGATAACATCCGGTAATACGTGCAGCAGGAGAAACCAACCCTGAGCCTCATGAACTCAGGTGGGCCCACTCTTTGAAAATGTCTAGGAGCTCATGGGCTGAAACAATTGTGGACGAGGGATTACTTCTACTGATGATTGGTAGACTCCTGCTGTACTTGCTCTCCTGTGGAGTTTCTTCTTATTACTGTAAATGCCTAGTTGCATGTTATGATCCTGAATCCTGTGCTTTCATGGTGGAAGACTTCTTAATGTGAGCAGGCCTTGCAATGTAAGTTGTGTGCCACAGGCTGTGATTCTCATATCCCTAAAGCATAATATAAACCTATCATCTCTGAAGATGGAAGGGTTCCAGCAGCATGCCTTGTAGCATATTGAGATTGTGTTGAGTTGATTCAAGAACCAACATGGCAGCAATGTTGTCGTGTATAAGGATGGCCATTCTCAGGTGTTGAAACGGCCACATTTAGCATATCCACCTAGCCATGTCTCTTGAAGGGCTATGATGTTGCCACTGTAGACGAGCGTTTCAATGACAACCCACGCTGCTTTGCACTCGCACAGTTCCAGTATATAATTTGTTCACAGTTAAGGCCAAGACAAGCGTATTTGAGCCCTTTTCTTCTTGCACCGTCATGTTCACCCTTCCTTTGACGTCTGCCTCTCTTGTGCCTCTGTTTCATAACCTTAACTGTTTTGCTACACACACATTGATCGACCATTGTGAATTCACCTCTGGATTTTGGTCTGTTCCAGGACCAGTTTTTTTAAAACAGATCTGGCTCATTTATATGCAGACTGTTGGTTCTTGGCTTCTCAGGCAGATACACTCTGACTTCTAAGGAAACATTGATCCTATCTGCTTTGGCCAGTTGCATTGTATGACATGCTTGTTAGGGAGTCAATGAGTCCTTTTTTTTTTTTTCCTCACCCTTTCCAAAATGGGGCTCCGGAACTCATACAGGGAGGACCCATGATAAAATCTGCCTTATTTGTGTTGTCATTGAACTTGATTGTTTATTGTTTTCCTCCGCCATTTGGCGTGTGTATCTTTAATTTCTGGCTCAAGTTTTATACAGATGTTATGTCCAGTATTGATTTTTGTGTGTGTGGGTTTTTTGTTACTATTGTTGTAGTAATGCATATTTGTTGGCATGTTGTAGTAATGCATATTTTTTGGCATATAGTGATGCATATTAGAGTGTTGCATGTATGTTAGCATGTTGTAGTGTTGCATATATGTTGGCATGTTGTAGTGAAGTTGCCAGTGGGTCTTTTATTATTCTATTTTCCGTTGTGAGAATTAAAATACCGGTGGAAGGTGGAAATGCTGCAGTTGGGTGTTTTTGTGAAGATTGTCATGGACAAAGATGAAAGCAAATTCTGAGATACTGGCAAAGCCAGGAGTCACTTTGTGTCTTGTTATACCATAAGAAAAAGCAATCCAATCTATGGGCCATTTCAACAGAAAAGGGTCCCGGCTTTGGGTTCCAAGGCCGCATTGGGGGGAACCCACTGTTGCATGAGGCAACTAATTCAAGATTTTTCTTTTGAAGTAAGGGTGCATTTGCCTGAGAGGGGAGAAACCAATAGTCTGCATAAAGGTGTCAGATCTGTAAAATGGATGCGCATGCAAAACTCAAGTTTCACAACAAGAAATGGACGAACACCCAGAACTTGCTGGCTGAGTCGTAACAGCCGGTGAATGTTAAAAAGAAGAACACAAGAAGTGAGATATAAAATTAGTATTATGTGGGGTGCTGGAATACAATACACAAAATATTGATTGTCTGCTACAGTGTTGCCTTTGCTTGAATGGCTTTGTGTGGTATCTCTCAACAGAATAGTTTCATTAACAGTAACATGATTGTTTGTAACTAGGGCTATGTAGATTATGAGCATGCGACACTACTGCATGCAGAGTCAATAACTTAATATGTAGAACAATGCTATATATGTAATCACATGATCTAATGCAATGGCTCTCAACCTTCCTGATGCTGCGACCCTTTAATACAGTCCCCTCATGTTGTGGCTACCCCCAGACAATTATTTTCCATCATAGCTTCAATGAATCTGTGTTTCCCGATGGTCTTTAGCAACCCTTGTGTAAGGGTCATTCGACCCAAAACAGGGCAGCGACTGACAGGTTGAGACTCACTGATTCAGTGTATAGAACACCACATACAGAATCATATCATCTAATGCATAACCGTTTTTGTTATCTCCCCACAGGAGAGTCCAGAGCTAATGGAAATGGGCCAACTCCACAGCCTTCACCTCCAAGTTCTCCCAAGAAGGGCTCCAGAGAAGGGAGCCCCAAATCCAGCACAGATCGGAGTAATAGACCCAGTTTTTTAAAACTTATTCTTGCTTTTATGTTAATTATTCATTGTTGCTGCCCTTTTACAAGACTCTTATGACAGTCTGCTGTATTGATATTGACTAAGTTCAGGAATCTTCTCATCTTCTCTAATCTAGGACAGCTCTGACCAACGTTAGAAGATTTAACTGTCTACATAGTGATACCTCAAAGGTATTTGAGAGATGTAAATGTGTGCAGACTAGGCCTCCTTCTTCTTTGTGTTGACCAGCTGTGAACTCCAGGAGAAAGTTCTGGTTGTTTGTCCAGTTCTGGACTTCTGTCTTGTTCCGGAACATGAGTTTTGCATGCACATCCATTTTACAGATCTGGCTTACTGGTATGAAGTCAACAGCTGGTAGATGCTAACACAAAGAGAATTCTTTTTTCTTTAGATTTTGTTTGTTTGTTAAATACATGTATCTAATCCCCATCTTTATTGTGCTACCTAGGAGCCGCATTAGCGCATTCGATAGGCGGCTCGCTTTCAAACCCAGCTGCGACTCGCTGCAGCCCACGGTCGGTGTTCGAAACCGGGGTTCACCCAGCCTCTAGGTAATGGGTACCAGAGTTAACACTCTGGGGTAAATGGAGGAATGTTGCTGTAGCTACGGAGTTGAGTGTGGGTGGCGACACAGGCGGACAGTTTCTTATCAGCTGTCCATAGAGCAGAGCACATATGGTATGGTATATATAACCATGTGCAATGACGCTGGTTCACATCACCCGACTTTCCCTTTTATTACGCTACCTGAAAAGGTGTATAATTTCATCCAGTATATGTGAATTCCTGACTGAAGTAAGATTAGCATTTTATGCAGCAAATTTTTATTTAGGTTTTTCAGTTGTCTGGGAAATGTGATAGCTGTAGCAGGTAGATGGTCACTGCCAGCTTTAAGGTTCAAATCCACATCAAGTCTTGATTATTATTATTATTTTTCTTGGTTCCATCCATTTGTTTTTATAGGTCAGCTGGTCTTAAATAAGTACCAAGGAAGGGCCTGAGAAGTAAAGGTGGTCAGCATGATGTTGACCATAAACAAACAAGTTGTATGTTCTTTACAGGTCGCCTGCAGCTGGGATAGTACCCAGCACCTCAGCATTACAAAGCACATTCACAACACCCAAGTCACAGATGCTGACATTGGCCATAACATTGGCATAAACAAATTGTTTTTTACCATTACTTTCTGTTATGTCTTCATTTCTCAGTCTAACACAGTGTTTTTGTTTTTTTTCTATTCAATTAAGCAGAATCATCAGAGTCACCTAGCACTGTCAGAGACTCCACCTCTGCAAAGGAGGAGCTGTACAAGACCCCGCCCAGTAGCCCTGTCCCTACACGATCTAGCAGAGCTCCCCTGCAGAAAGTGGATTCCTTTGACAAGTCAGACACACCCACTCCTCCAACCACACCAATGATGGATAGGTCAGACAAGACAAGCCTCTCAAAACCCAAAATCTCACCAGTAAAACCTGGAGGCATGCCTGGAGACAAACTAGACTCCAACATTACATCCCTGAATGAAAAGGAAGTCAAAACAGAACCATTTTCATCACCAGATTTTACAGTAAAGGAACCTGCGGTGAAGTCATCCCCTGAAAAGGAAAAAGCAAATACATTGTCAGCACCAAAAGTAGCATCTCCAAAATCTGATATGGATGTTACAGAAACCAAACCAAAGGATTCCCCAGAGGTAGTCCAGCGATCTCCAGCTCACAGAGTGGAACTGATTTCGGGAAATAAAAAGGACAGTCCGGTTGCCGTTGTAGCTCCAACAGTAAAATCTACGTCTGCGACAGGCATCCGTGATGTGCCTTCTCCTGCTGTTCTGGGCTCTAGCAGCAATTCTGTTCTTGCAGGAGGGCTGGCTTCCAGTGCCAGGACCAGGCTTCGATCACCACCCTACAGAGATGACAGGTACCAGTTTGTCCTTTATTTTGTGCACAAAGCTCTTTGTTTTCTCTAAATCGGCGGTTCTCAACCTGTGGATCTACCGACCCTTTCAGAGGGGTTGCCGAAGAAAATCGGAAAATATATTCACTGAAGTTACGAAGTAGCAACAAAAATAATTTTATGGTTGGGGGTCACCACAACATGAGGGAACACATATTCATTGACGTTATTAGGGAAAATTATTGTTTGGGGGTGGCCACAACATGAGGGAACACATATTTATTGAAGTTATAAGGGAAAATTATTGTTTGGGGGTCGCCACAACATGAGGGAATACATATTCATTGAAGTTATGAGGGAAAATTATTGTTTGGGGGTCGCCACAACATGAGGGAACTTTATTAAAGGGTCGCGGCATAAGGAAGTTTGAGAGCCACTGGTCTACAGCAGCATGATGTGTCTGATCAAGGCACATCTATTCCTTGATACCTGCAGTGAGAACAGAAGAAAATCAAGAGAAGATGAAGAGTCTGATTGTTAACAGTTATCTTGCAGAGTTTTGTTTGTTAAGTATTGTTTGTTGTCTGATGGATCTCTTATCTCTCTTAGCCCTCTCAGGCTGGACTCAAGCAGCTCATTTCCTGCTCTCGACGTTGTTGACGCTTGTGTTGTTGGTGCTAGTGGTGGTAGCAGCAGTGTTGGCAGCGTAGCTGGTGGTGCTGCCGCCGCCGCAGCAAGTGGAATTAGTAGTTACAGCGGCTCTGCTCTCAAATCCAACATGTTCACTATAGGAACTGCTTCTCCCAGGGAGGATTCTTTGAGGTAAGTATGTTGTGGGTGGAGGAAAGGAGAGAGAACGAACAAACTTTATTTCCAAAGGGTTACAAATTGGGCACGCATTAGAGAGAGAGCCCAAGCTAACAGCATCAGTTTCATAGTTCTATATGGCTCGGCCTCTTCCTGCAGAACAGCTAGCTGCATGCTGAGAGCATCACACAAAGCCAGAACGGAGCCAGAAGTTCACGGATTCGGGTTCTGACGGAGCCAGACTTAGAATTTACTGATATCCTTCCCTTTGACCATTTCATTGTGGTTTTGGTCACTTTACAACACAGAGCAATGTTACATAATAATTAAATTATGACGTTAACAGTGAACCCATAATTTTATTTTGTAAATCTCCTTTTTTTTCCAAATAATGTTTTTACAAAATTTTTTTATTTTAAAGAAATATATTCATATTTGTCATCTCTATACACTGTGCAGCCGCTATACATTGTGTACTGGACGCTGTCCAAAGACATCATGCCAACCAAAACTAGTTTGCATAGATATAAGTGACCCCTTAGAAATGAAAAGGCACGCGGCTGGGAGCCTGGCAAGAGACCAAGTTTCTTTCAGACAGACCGTGATTAGATAAGGTTGTGCAAATGACCTTCTACCTGAGATGATGATGATAGTGGTGGTGGGGTTTTATAGCGGAGAAAGACCATTCTATGATACACTGGAAACATGATGTTCATTTTTTTTAAATGTAGTAACAAGCCATAGTCGGCTCTGTGGCTAAGTCGATTTGAACGCTTCGTAATGCCGGGGTGCCGGGTTTGATCCCAGCTGCGGGCTATGGGCGTTGCGTTGGTTTCGACAGTGGTATCAGGGAGCCGACCGTCCAGAAAGCAATGGCAAACTTAAATTTGCCTGGAGAAACCACACAACAGCCAGGGGCTGCTGGGGTTGGTTCTGCAACGTCCTGTAAAGGATACGCAACTAACCTTTAACCAGCCATAAGTATACTTTTCTGTTTATAATATTATATGGATGACAATCATGAACTTGTGGGTTGGAAGGTGGTGGGTTCGGGTCCTAACGGAACCTGACTTTTTTCAAAAACAACCTTGACCCCCAGGTTGACCCAGCCTTGAGTCGTTACCAGGTGCAGTCCTGGAAAGTCAAGGCGGCCGGCGTGATGCTGACCACATCGCCCACTAAGTGCTGATTGGTCTAAAAAATAAAGGTCCAGCCCTGTATGCCTAATATGCCCGAAGGTGTGGAAATTGGTCCTTTATTTACTTTATTATGAATAAAAGAAAGACCTGTCATGCAGGCTACTGATCCAAAAATAATACCACAGATTTGAAAAAAAAATGTGTTTGACATATGAAGTCAAAGAACTAATCTCTCTGTGTGGGTTCCAGGGTCCCATTGGGGGGGGGGGGGGAAGAGAAACAAGAATAGACCCACTGCCTGCTCAAAACCATGTCGTAAGCGTCGACTAAATGTTACCTACCTTTGAAGTCAGAGTACATCTGCCTAAGAGGCAAGGAACTAAAAGTCTGCATGCAGATGAGTCAGACCTGTGAAATGGATGTGCACACAGCACTCAGTTTCTAAAACTGGACTAGAGACCAGAAGTGGACCAACAACCAGAAATTTCCTCAGGAGTTTAAAGCCGGTGATTGCTGCGAAGAAGAAGAATAAAAAAACAATAATCTTTTTTATTTTAATTTTTGTTTAGTAAATGCAAAATTCTTGTTTGTACTATCAAGGTTGTCACCAAAAACAGCCAGAAAGGATCGTAGCCGCTCCAGCCGAACGAAACGAGAAAGGGCATCATCACCGTCATTAGCTGACATAGTACCCATGCAACGATCTCGTTCATCATCAGCTTCTAAGGTGGAGTCAATATTTTGATTGATCTGTCCTAGAAATGTAATACCTCGATTATTGAATGAATGATTTCACAATAGTAATAATTGGTTGTTCTCAGGATCCATTTGTCTCTCTTATCCAGGTCAAACGGTATAGTGTATTCTAGAAATGTAATACCTCGATTATTGAATAAAGGATTTTACAATAGGGATTGGTTGTTCTCAGGATCCATTTGTCTCTCTTATCTAGGTCAAACGGTATAGTGTATTCTAGAAATGTAACACCTCCATTATTGAATGAATGATTTTACAATAGGGATTGGTTGTTTTCTGGATCCATTTGTCTCTCTTATCAGGTCAAACAGTATAGTGTATTTGTAACGTTATTTTTTTCTTTTCCCAAACACAAACAGATTTTAGCACATGAATGTCAGCTTCTTTATTTTCTCCTCTTCTTCCTCCTTTTTTTTTTCCTTCTCTGTCTGATAACTTTTCTGCTGCTAGTGCATCTTCTTTTCCAACTCCTCTTCTGATCTTTTTCCTTCTTCATCCTTGTCTTCTTCTGCTGCTTCTTTTTATTTTGTCTTCTGCTGTACTACTTCTGTCTGAGATCTTCCAGTGTAAATTTATAGACTCTGTGGAGAAAACCAGTCAATGACAGTTTGTGTGATTTTCTGCCTGTTTTTAAGGAAACCAATAATTGACAATTTGTGTGATTCTCTGTTTTTAAGGAAACCAGTCCATGACAGTTTGTGTGATTCTCTGCCTGCTTTTAAGGAAACCAGTCAATGACAGTTTGTGTGATTCTCTACCTGTTTTTAAGAAAACCAATCCATGACAGTTTGTGTGATTCTCTACCTGTTTTTAAGAAAACCAATCCATGACAGTTTGTGTGATTCTTGGCCTGTTTCTTAGGAAACCAGTCAATGACAGTTTGTGTGATTTCTACCTGCTTTTAAGGAAACCAATCCATGACAGTTTGTGTGATTTCTGCCTGCTTTTAAGGAAACCAATCCATGACAGTTTGTGTGATTCTCTGCCTGTTCCTAAGGAAACTATTTATTTGCAGTTTGTGTATCGTACATGCATTATATACATTGTCTCAGGTCTATAATGATGACTTTCAGATCCTGGACAGAAATCGAGGGGTTAAAGAAGCTCTGTCTCCGACAGCAGCAGAGTGCCTGCGAGCTGTTTTTGCTGCGTTCATGTGGCATGAGGGGATTGTTCATGATGCTATGGCCTGCGCTTCCTTCCTGAAGTTCCACCCTGACCTTACCAAGGAGATGTCCAAGTTTGTGAAGGTATGGTGTTTTTCTTCTTCTTGTTATTCTTGTTATTCTTCTTCTTCTTCTTTTTTCTCTTTTTTTCTTTCTTCTCCTTCTTGGCATTCACGAGCTGTTAACTCTGACAGAAAGCTATGGTTTGTCCACTTCTAGAATTTTAATCTTGTTCCAGAAATGGAGTTTTGTGTGCACATCAGTATTACAGGTCTGACTATTTTAAATGCAGACTATTGGTTCCTTGCCTCTCAGGCAGATGCACCCCAATGAAGATAATTTGATTTAATTGACTGTTCAGCATGTTTATTGGGGGCATTGGGTATATTATTTTTTCCCTCTCCCCCACAAACTGTTTTTGCTCCTAATAAAGGTTTTGTGGCTCTGACCTCTCAAGACGCTTCATAATTCCAAGGTGCTGGGTTTTATTCCATCTGTGGGTGATTTGGCAGTAGACTGCCTTGCATGGGTTGAAATGAGAGCTGATTAGTGGCAAAATATTGAATGTAAAATTGCCTAGTAAAATCACAAAGAGCCAAAATATGCTAGGGTTGGTTCTGTGACAACATCCTGTAAGGAAAAGGCAACTCTCCTTCTTCTTCTTCTTAGCCCTTAACCAGCTATAAGCTCTGTTGGAAAGCTCCTGAACTTTAGCTTTGATCAAGAACTTGAGTTTTTCATGCACATCTGCTTTACAGATCTGGCTTATTTGTGTGCAGACAGTTGGTTGCTTGCCTCTCAAGAAGATGAAAAATCCGACTTTGAAAGAAGAATCCCTAATTAGTAGTTTTCCAACAACATGCTTGTTATTATGGGGGGGGTCCTCTGTTGATTTTTTGTTCTCCAAAATGAAACCCAGAACCCACACGGCGGTGGATACGCAACTAACTTTAAGTGAATAGCATGGTTGGTTGGTCCGGTTTACACCTAGGCTGTGATATCTTCACTGTTTGCCTCAACCCATCTGATTTTGCAAACTTTTAATCAGCCGTGTTTTATGGCATGCCTTTTGAGGTGCAGTAGGTCTCATGTCTCCCCCCCCCCCTTTCAACAACAAAAAAACTGGTCCTAGGTGGACCAACCTGGAGGTTCATGAGTGTAAAAGCCCAAGGTTCTTGTAGTGATTAATACCAGTTTGGCATAATTTCCACCTAGGAAAAGAAACAGCAGTCAAACACGGAGCCCAAGAGGCAGCGACATTCAACAGAGTCAAGCAAAGATAGAAGCCACAGGTGTCGGGATAACATCAACGAGAGTCGCGTCAGGTTCAACCTGGAGCCTCAGTATTCGGATGTGGACAAGGATATGGTGGAGCTGCCACGTCCTCGGTGAGACTGTTCACATGTTTCTATTTCGGCAACACTTTGTGTTCATACAATTGTGTGTCCACAAAACTTTGTGTTCATGTATTTCTGTTTCACCAACACTTTGTGTTCATGTATTTCTGTTTCAGCAACACTTTGTGTTTATATGTTTGTGTGTCCACAAAACTTTGTGTTCATGTATTTCTGTTTCACCAACACTTTGTACGTTTGTGTGTCCACAAAACTTCATGTTCATGTTATTCTGTTTCAGCAACACTTTGTGTTTGTATGTTTGTGTGTCCACAAAACTTTGTGTTCATGTATTTTTCTTTGAGCAACACTTTGTGTTCACACGTTTTTATTGTCAGAACACTTTGTGTTGATACATTTTTGCTTCCACAACACACTTTGTTCAAATGTCTGTTCCCACTACATTTTGTGTTCATATGTGGTTTTTTCTAATTTTTTTAACATCACTTTGTTTTTCTTTCTATTTTCGCAACACTTTATGTTCATATGTTTGTATTTCAGTGACAGTTTGAGTTCATTTGTTTATATTTCCACAGCACTGTATGTTTATTTGTTTGTATGTGCACAACATTTTGTGTTTATATTTCCAGACTTTGTGATCATACATTAGTAATTCCGCAATAACTTGTGCTCGTATATCTTTATTTTCACAGCTGTTTTTGTTTGTATCAGTGCAGACATATATTGAATGAAAGAGACCAACAACATGCAAAAAATTGTATCATATTAAGAGGATGACAGAGGTAAAAACTGTGTAACAAAAGGGAGTTGAATGGTTGTAGCCCATGCAGCCGACCAAGAAAACAATGGACAGATAATATCAAGACAGACCTACAAACACTTGGTGACACTATTTGGAAAAAAAAAGGCCAATCAGAGATATGAATTAAGGCAGCTGACGTCTGCAACAGTGAACCCCAAGAGCTCGGAATGCTGAAGACACTAGTTGGAAAAAAAAGGCCAATCAGAGATATGAATGAAGGCAGCTGACGTCTGCAACAGTGAACCCCAAGAGCTCGGAATGCTGAAGAAGAAGAAAAAACAGAGAATGGGGTGGTCAGAAAGCTGCACAGCCAAGCCAAGGGCTGAAATACTTGGTGGTTATGACAGTTATTAATGTTTTTTTAAATTGCATTTCTTACATCGAACATTTCTTAAATCAGGGGCATCTATGGTGTAGGTGTTGTGAATGTCATTTTATAATTCTGACATAAAGGGTACGTTGCAGGAGATTTGGCAGTAGACTGCTTGGCAATGATTTTGACAACGGCGTGAATGTAGGCTGTTCTGATAACAACGACAAATTAATCATTGTAAAAGTGGCCTAATATAGTGGTTCCCAACTAAGACCTAAGGCCCCTTTTCCAAAGCTCTACCGATGGTCCCAAATTGTTTAAAAGACACTCTTTCCTTTGTGGGTTCAGGGGCCCGATTTTGAGGAGAGAAAAGAATAGGCCTAGTAACCCCCCTAGAACTATCATCAGGGAAGGCTCGCTCATGGGCCACTCAAACATCCAAGACCTACAACGGATTGCAACGGACCGCCGTGCATGGAGAGTCGCGACCTCTGCCCTATGTGCCGCACTCGACACAAGAGGAAAGACTAACTAACTAAGTAACCCCCCCCCCCCCCTTCCACATCCCCACAAGCATGTCATAAAAGTAAACTAATTAGGGGTTGTTGCCTTCAAAGTCAAGAGTGCATCTATCTGCCTAGAGGTGAGGAACCAGCACTCTGCCCACAACAAAACCAGATTGGTAAATCTCAGATTCTGGACAAAGACTAAAGATCAGATGTGGATGAACAACCAGAAGTTTCTGCTGGAGTTTACAGTCAGTGAACCAGAAGAAGAAGAAGAAGAAATTCCATAGATGATCAGATGAGAAAGACCGGCTTCATAAAATCACAAATGGACACAAATGTTGTGGTTGGTATGGGACCTCTTGCTTTAAAAAAAATTTACAGTTAACTTTATAATTTTTGTTACATTAACAAATGTTATATTCACAACGAGACATGTAAATATCCAGGTCCGCTTCTTCAAGAGCCGCCATCAACATCCCTTCAGAGATTCCCTTGAAGTCTTTGCTGTGTGAGTCCAGATCAGATGCTGGTGAGTTGTTGCATCACTGTTGTTGCCTCTGATGTTTGTTTGTTTGTTTGTTTTAGTATCCAGAAGCCACGAGTTGTTAACCCTTAGGCTCAGTATTATGGATATCGCAACCTTTCGGCCTTGATTCCATTGTAAATACTGTAAATCTGGGAGAAAATGTGGCTTTCCTGCCTACCCCCGGGATTGAACCCGGACCACAAGGAGTACGTCACCCGGTCTCCGCAAAATCCGGTTTAGCCAACTACGCTAGAGAGCTGGGCCTGATGTTAGTTACATCAGCTTCAAGCCAGTCGTTGACACCATATTCTTCTTTGTTCTCCTCCATTTTATTCTTCTACCTTATCCTTCTCAATCCTCCCCTCTTCTTCTTCTTCTTCCTTCTCCTGTTTGGTAATACTTATGATTGCATTTCAACAAATGTATCAGATCATTTCATCTTCTCCTTCTCAGTTAATGGGTGCAGAGTATTTCATTTGTGCCAGAGGTTGTTTTTTTTTTCTTCAGGAAAATATTTACCACAAGGTGTTGGTACTCACCACAAAGTCTATTACAGCAATAATGGTGAAAAAAAAAAATTTGATGAATTTTAAAAAGTGCCGATACTGCATACTGACACTCCGCTTTCCAAAACAACAACTCTGCATTTATGTATACGTAGATAACTTTCATTTGTATTGTGTTGTCTGTCACATATGATAAAGGATCCGAGCCAGGAAATATGTATTCTTTTAGGGGTGGAGACTTCTGGATCTGCTTACAGCCCCTACGCTGGAGGCGTGGCCAAGAGACCAGTGGAAAGACACAAATCTGAAGGTGGATCAGCCAAGTTTCAGGAGATGGTCGAACAGGCCTCTAAACAAAACAAGGGAGAGAAGGTGAGTGAGAAACATTAAGCTGATACAGAAGTTAGCTCTCACTTGTTCTTCTTCTTAATCTTCTTTTCAGAAATACCTGAGAGATGTGGGGCATTGAAGGTGATGAGAAAGGGAACTGACAATCTCACCTCAGTTGTCATGGCCTAGAATATGTGACAGCTATAAAGATGCTGGGTATTAGAGACATTGGAGGTATAAAATATGGATAATAGAGATGCTGGATATTACAGTCATTGGAGGTATGGGATTTGGATAATGAAGATGCTGCACGTTACAGACATTGGAGGTTGATTTGACTGATTTGATTTGATTCAAGAACTGATCACAGCACTCAGGGCATTCCCATCAGCGCTCCTTCCGTATCTTCAGCAGCCAGTTAAGAGTTCTGATACTAATGGTGCCAGTAGCATTCTGATTAAACTTCTGTCTTGCCTTTCCTCTGAGACTCGAGCATCTGTCAGAACCTCTCGTCACTCCCCCCCCCCCCTCTTTCCTCCCGCATCAATCTCACCAGACTGTTGTGATCCATCTGCTCCTCCTAACTGTACACGCTCTCCCACAAGGCACTCACCACGTCTGCCTTATCATGCATCAGTATTCCACAAAGTTGTGCAGAGCCAGCCAGTCTGTCCACCTGTTCATTTCCCAACACACCGCTCACCCGTGTCCTCCGCAGTGAAGCATGCCACTCTGCATGAAGCTTAACATATCACATGTCTGAATTCTCAGTCTCTGAAGGTTCAGGTGGCTGGGTCAGACCTGGAGAGTGGAGGATGGTAGAATCCTTAAGGACATCCTCTTTGGTGAAACACAGATGGGTAGAAGATGCTGAGGCTGACCTCTGCTACGATATAAAGATATGTGCAAGTGAGACATTAATGATTCAGTTATTGAGGCGAATTCGTGGAAACAAAATACCATGGACCATGTTGCTAGGAAGGGACATTGTTGCTAGGAAGGGACATTGTTGCTAGGAAGGGACATTGTTCATTTTAAGATCATCTTCATCGGACAAAACCATAAGTGCTCTGATCTACAACTCCCATTCTGGTCTGGTTGATGTAACGATGGGTGGCTCCCAGGTGGTTTTCCAGTCTCACTGCTCCAGTTGGTACACACAAGAGGGGCAATTCAGGAAGAGAATGAGAATACAGGGGAAAAAAGGATTGCAGAAAGAATGAGAGCTGAGTGTCTGAGAAGAAACAGACAAAAGATATCTGATTGCAACAACAGTCCTGAAATCCCAAGCTCCACTAGTGGAAAATTTTTCTTAAAATGGGCGAGTCTTGCTAGTCACACTCGCCTTCCTCATGGGCTGTGATTCTTAGCCCTGCTCATAAGCACAATATAACTGTCGTCGAGATAGAAAGGTGCCAACTAACTAATATGTCACAACCAGATGGTAAACTATGTTAGGTGACTACCTTCTTCTTCCTTCTCCTCCTCCTCCTCCTCCTGCTGACAGAAATAAGAAGACTATATATATCATCTTGCCTCTTTTTTATTTCAGGAAACTCAGCTGCCCCGAACCTTGCAGCACCTGGTGCACTTCTGGGAGGAGCTGTCCGAGTCCGTTATCCAGGTCATGAACCAGGATGCAGTACCTCCCAGCCCCGCCATGACTGCCAGAATCAAGCAGTACGAGAGGAGGGAGAAGGATAAGGACAAGGAGAGAAAGATGAAGAAACGGAAAGGAGCCAAACCTCCGCCACTTCCTGTGATGAATGGTGCTGACGTTGGAGGTGAGTTTCTGTGTCTTGTATGTTTTGCTGTGTTTTGAATGTGGTCAGCAAACTCTTCAGTCGAAAGAGCCAAAAATCAGCAACAGGAAGATTAAAAAAAATTTGAAAGCCAAATTTTGTTGCAAGAACCTGTCAAGAACCAAGTTTTTGAAAGTCAAAACCGATTCGTAACCGACTGGCCAAACCACACCCTGGCCGGAAAAGAGCCGCATGCGGCTTGCAAGCTGCAATTTGCCGATCACTGGCCTAGTCCAAAGAGAGTACAGGTCTCTGACCCTTTACGTCGCAGATAGATGTTACGTTAACTTCTTTTGTCTGATTTGTTAGTTTACCATTTCTCTCTCATAGTTTCATTAGTTTTAACATTTTGGGACTGAGACACTGGCTACTTTAAATTAAAACATCTTGGGAGAGAAAGGGTTAAAGTAATTCACAAGCTGGTAGACAAATCACACTGGGTATTCCATTTGACTCTTATATTCTTCATATTCTTCTTCTTCTTCACGTTCACCAGCTGTAAACTCTGGCGGAAGGTTCTGGTTGCTCGTCCACTACTGAACTGCAGTCCTGCTCCAGAACCTGAGTGTTGCGTGTGCATCAGTTTTACAGATCACATTCTCTTGAATACAGACTGTTGGTTCCTTGTCTCCCCGGCAGATGCACTCCGACTTCAAAGGAAGCTCCCCAATTAGTCGACTCTTACGACATGCTTTTGGGGAGGCAGTGGGTCTATTCTTGTTTTCCCCACAATGGGACCCTGGAACCCACACGGGGAGCTTCATATTCTAAAAGTCTTCGTTTCTATGACACTTATTCATTGTATATTCTTATTTTTTTTTTAAATTTTTTTTTTAAATTCCTTGTGTTGCTTAGATTCTGTATATTGTTAAATTGTTTATTCCTGTCTCTTATATTCTGTATATTTTGTATTCCTTTATTCCCTGTGACTCTTAAATTCTGGATATTCTTCATTCCTTTATTCCCTGTGACTCTTAAATTCTGGATATTCTTCATTCCTTTATTCCCTGTGACTCTTAAATTCTGGATATTCTTCATTCCTTTATTCCCTGTGACTCTTAAATTCTGGATATTCTTCATTCCTTTATTCCCTGTGACTCTTAAATTCTGGATATTCTTCATTCCTTTATTCCCTGTGACTCTTAAATTCTGGATATTCTTCATTCCTTTATTCCCTGTGACTCTTAAATTCTGGATATTCTTCATTCCTTTATTCCCTGTGACTCTTAAATTCTGGATATTCTTCATTCCTTTATTCCCTGTGGCACTTAAATTCTGGATATTCTTCATTCCTTTATTCCCTGTGACTCTTAAATTCTGGATATTCTTCATTCCTTTATTCCCTGTGGCACTTATATTCTATATATTCTTCAATCCTTTATTTTTGACTCTTATATTCTGTATATGCTTAAATTCTGAATTGTCTGTGACTCTTATATTCTCTATGTCCTCAAATTCTTTATTCCCTGTGACTCTTATATTCCATATATTCCTAAATTCTTTATTCCCTGTGACTCTTATATTCCATATATTCCTAAATTCTTTATTCCCTGCGACTCTTATATTCCATATTTTCCTAAATTCTTTATTCCCTGCGACTCTTATATTCCATATATTCCTAAATTCTTTATTCCCTGTGACTCTTATATTCCATATATTCCTAAATTCTGTATTCCCTGTTACTCTTATATTCCATATATTCTCAAATTCTGTATTCCCTATGATTATTACATTAAAAATCCCTAGTTAGTTGCCTTTTATGATATGGTTGATAAGGAGGCAGTGAATCTATTCTTTGTTCCCCCCAAAATTGGGGCTTGGAACCCACATAATGATATGTAAGTAATCAGTTGCAGAAGTCCATTGCAGCCAACCTTCATTGTGAAGATGGCACTTGATGTGTTGATTGACTGATATTTGGGTTCCACTGATATTGGTTTGTGTTGTCTAATACCCGCTGGTGTCCCTTTGATAATCCCTGATATTCTTGTTTCCTCATGATATCTCCTTGTATCCCGATATCCGCTTGTATCGCTTTGACCACCCTTGCTCCCTAGTCCACTCAGTAACTGCCAGTTACTAACTTAAATGTACCAATCATGTAACTTCTTTGTGCTTGCCAGGTCTCGCCCACCACTTGGCCGCCAGAGCTCCGAGATTGATTGGAGTACCTGTACGATTATTGTATCCCCGAGGTGGTGACATTGGTTCTTTGCGTCTTATCCATTAACTCACTGTCTCCAGTCAGTTATATTAACTCATTTGCTTAATAAAGTTTTTAACCACTTTCAACATATCTATTACTAATTTCAAGTCACAGTTGTTTTGGATTGAAGGAGCTAACCTCAAACGGTCTGGAGCTTTAACTCCTTGAGTACTAAGACAAGCTTAGTGTGTTGATTTAAAACTAATTTAACTTTCTTCTGGTACCAAAAGAGTTAACCCTACCAGACCTGAGGCCCTGAACATAACTGCCCCCTATACCTGAGCTCCTGAGTATCAACACGAAAAACCAACATGATATAAAACAATATTAGTTACATGAAAACAAGTTGTTAGAATAAGAAGCTTGTAGACATTGTAGAAAATAGATTTACCTTTCATCTAGCTCCAGTATTCCACCTTTGTGTGCCAATCAACCAAGCATGATCAGCCTTGTTTCACAAAGTGAGCACCAGATGTTGCTGTTTGAGGGACACACCCCCTTCTCTTACTATCGATCTAGTTTTAAATCTATAATTTTCATAATTCTCCTGCTCACTTTAGAACTCACTGACTGTGTCACTTTAACTGGGAACGTATTCTTCATGAAATTCTGACTCCTCAGAGTCTGAATCAACGAAGGTATCAATCACTTATATGTGTGTGAAAAGCCTAGACCTACTTCACTTTCCTGTAGAAGGGCTTGGTTCATCGGCCACTTGTTTCATTGTGAATTTTAAGTATTTTTTCAAGTTAAACCACACAAAGTAAATCCAAACACACGTGACTAACCACAAGGTTTGATCACAATTGGTTGGTTATTTTTAGTTTGTGATGCAGTTTTCACGTAGTACGCAAAGTACTGACAATAAGGTACAGAGGTTTAGCAGCAGATTAGGAAACTACCGCAGAAGCAGTACATTGGTCTGGTAGAGTTAAGAGCTAACATGTTCTATATCATCCTTGTCAATACCTTGTTGGGTATATGGGGCTGGCGCTATACTTTTATGGTCCCCTGATATCCGCTTGTACCCTCCT